TAAGACTAATAAAGATAGTGGCTGAAGTGTTGAATACAAAGGTATGAATCTTTCTAGAAATCAAATTGTCTAGAAACTCTTATAATTAATTTAACACTAAACAAAATTAGAACCAATAAGAAACTAAATAACCATCTAGTTTAACTATTTAGGAAACTTTCTTTATCTACGCATTGTGGTGTGGTCACAAATATTTCCTTGATTTTATTTAATATGTATTTTAGAACTTGTAGTTATTAAATATGAATTAAAAAGCAATAACTGGCAATTAAAAGAATCTTGATTTGAAAACCTGTATCGTTACTATTGCGTAGTTACGTATTTATCTATATATACTTAAGTAGTTGTGGGCATCGTTGTACCTATGTATGTACGTAACTAATTGCTAATGTAAGTAATTTGGCGTCTTTCGATGAGATAACAAGGGGGCATAGCAAACAAGCAGTACCTATCATCTGATCAGCACCGCCATACGTCAAAGTTAGAGGGTTCGATTCTTGCACGAAAACCATATCAAACTAATTTTACTCTTTTCCAGAAAATGTGCAACGTGCTAATGGCAGTAGTTTGGCTGTTAATCTTCATATTAGTCTCTTTTTGGGTAGCTTTCATTGGCGCGGGTCTCTACATTTTTATCCTACCCTTCACAGTATGTATAGGAGCGTTAACGGTTAGTACCTACCTCTACGAACCTAATTCCTAGTCAGTGCATAGTATTCACATCACTATCATTGGGTCAACATTTTATTGATATTATTTCTGAGATAATTCTATTATATATATAAATTTAATTATTTAGGGACTTTGTTTACCTGTCTGGAAACCTACAAAGTTTCTTTTTCTATTACAGGGTATCACAGACTTCTTACTTACCGTGGCACAATTCCCGCGATACTGTGCACAAAATATGATGGAGGGACTAGGACTCAAGTAGTTTTAAGTACTTGTCTAGTCAAATAATTAGGTAACCTGAATCTATTGTTTATCAACAAAGTATTTTTTCTCAAAAATATAAATAATATGTGACCATGTTTCTAAGATTATATGTAGGTTACTAGTACCTTATTAATGCACAATATTATTCTATGTCTGATAAGGACCTCATATTAATATTGTGCCATCTTTATTTTTACTTATTAATGTAACATACCTACTTATGAAAGTAAATAGACTGCTCCAGTGGTATATTTACTTTAGGAGTAAAACTTTTTAACCAGATTTTGTATAATATTTTAATCTCGTTTTGATTTGTTGATTTTTTATAATGTTACACATACTTATGTCCTTATATGAAAAAGGAAAATAGATCCTGATAATCAAGTTAATTAATTATTATGAATGACATTTCAAAATTCATATCACTCATTGGGCGAATTAACATTTTTAGAAAGTTAATAAAATAAAATTACATAATACATTTTTTGTACGTTTTATTTCCTACCTACACAACCTACCTTATAAGTATTAACATCTTCTTCAATGTTCATTTTAAGTTCCTGGAGAATTTTTAGGTATGACTTCTGACCCCGATCCTTCTCTCCAACTCATTCCGAGATGTAGAGGCACTAAAATCAAGGCTTATTGCTGCCCAGGAATTTTCACTTCGCGCGGAAAAACTTGCGCGACCGCATGCGGTCGGAAGCCATCTAGCAATAGTAGGAAACCTTCAACCACAAATCCAGTACCTATTGAAGCATGACATGTTGTTCTAGCGTCTCCTGAATGTGTCACTGTGCAGTAAAATAACCTAGGCAAGGTCCAGACACCACCACAGAAGATAATTGTTTTCTTCAAAAGAAATTCCGCCCCAAACAATTCATAACCTCTTCCAAAAGTCACTTGTTGTTCAATATAATCGCGTGCAAATCGTTCTCCGTCCGTAGCTGCGCTTGGCGATGCATGGAGTTTAATTTTGGACCATCCGCTAATTTGTAAGAATACAGTCCGTTTTCTGCAAGTCTCCGTCATCTAGTCCCTATTAAGAAGTCACTATGACACCTGAATGTTAGTCAAATTTCGATTTCTTGTAGTCTTAAAAAGCGCCTTCCTCGCTTTGAAACACCCCGATTTATGCTACTGATGATACTGATGATCGATTTAAGCTACCAGTCTCTAAATCCCACGAGTGTACTCGCCTTATTGCTAATCAACTAAATAATTACGCCTGATTACGATATGCTGACTCAATTCTGCCTGGATCAGAATCACAAATTCAGCGCTATCAGCAAGAGTGGTATCCATTTCTTTTTGAAGGGTAATAACAATTACATTCAACTTAAATGGGTAATGAATGAATCAGTATAAAGAAACAATTATGAAGTGAAAAACAAGAAATGGAGGTGTGCGATCAAAAATGCCAATATTGTCAATAACCGAATTTTAGAGTATCTAAAAATAAAGGTAACCATACTTTCCAATAACGTTAGTAGTTTTGGTTCTCCAAATCTCAACTTTTACATACCTACTTAGTCCAAACCTCGAATGGGTCGATTTTTTTGGAAGCACGTGTACTATACATATTTATCATAAAATAATACAAAAAATATTAAGGTAAATAAACTTATTGAGAAAAAAAAAATCGACTCACTTAATTCGTAATACGTGATGTGATTCTACAACTATAGTATTCCGTACCTAAGTGTTACCTACCTACCTTCCTAACTCTTTACATAAGAGTTTTTGTGGGCATTTTGCGTTTTCATAACCATGTACGTAATTACTAACGTAATTTAGCATCTTTTTTATGCAAAATATCCTGATGGTACCTAAGCAAAAGCTCATCCGTAACGTCAGAAGGTTCGATTCTTGTGCGGAAAAAATTCACGATCTAATATTTTTTTCTTTTCCAGAAAATGGGCAACATCGTGTTCTCAATAATTTGGCTGATAATCCTGATATTCATCTCCTTATGGATAGCTGGTATTGCCGCGGGCCTCTACATTATTATCCTGCCCTTCACAGTCTGTATAGAAGCGTTATCGGTTAGTATCTCGGCTATTTCCTATTAACTCATCGAGTACCGTATTTATAGACACAATTAAAGAACAATAGGTTGCGGTCACCGGTGACCGCTTGGTGTTTGACAGTTTAAATAAATAATATTCACATCACTGAGTCTTAACTTTTTATTTATATTGTTTCGGCTAGTTTCGTTAGATTTAGATTGGCTTTAGTAGAAATAATTAAGCTAGAATTTTGTCCTAACGTAAAAATGCATTAAAACTCTTTCATATACCGACAGACACCCTATTGAGACTGGTCATACGCTGATATTTTGTTAACCTGTCTGTAAGCCTACACCTACAAAGTTTTTATTTCTATTACAGGGTCTCACAGACTTCCTACTCTCCGTGATACAGTTTCCGAGATACTGTGCACAAAGTATGATGGAAGGAAGAGGATTCAACTAGTTTTAAATACCTGGTCTAGTCAAATAATTATTTAAATTAATTATACTGAATCTATTGTTCATCAACAGAGTATTTTTTTATTATAATGTGTCACTGTTTCTAAGATTATAAGTACCTTGCTGATGCACAATATAATTCTGTTTGATAAGGACCTAATATTAATATAGTGCCATCTTTATTTTTACTTATTAATATTACATACATACGAAAGTAACTTGACTGCTTCAGTAGTATTTTCTTTACACATTATGTTTCTAAGCACAACTTTTTAATCAAATTCTGTATATTTTTATCCATTATTTTTTGATTTGTTGATTTTAGTAATTCAGAATGACTTTATATGAGATAGGCCCGCCCTCTGGTGTCTGTTGACACCCTCAAGAGAAAATGGATAATCAAGTCTATTAATTGTTATGCACATTAAAAAAATCATATCATCCATTTAAGAAAACTGATTAATAATGTGGATCATTGACAAATAAACATTTTTATAAAGTTAATAAAATAAAAAGTACATAATTATATTTACTTAAATGTTTTATTTCATACCTACGTAAGTATCTTAACAACTACATTTTCAAAAATTCAACATTGAACTTGCAGTTCAAGATAAAGGTTTAATAGAAAACGAAATAAAAATAAAACTACGTTTAAAAAAAGCAGCCTCGTTGGCCGAGTGGTCGGAAGTGCGACTGCCGGGCAAGGGGTCTTGGGTTCGATTCCCGGGCCGGTCAAAGGGTCTTGGGTTCGATTCCCGGGCCGGTCAAAGGGTCTTGGGTTCAATTCCCGGGTTGTGCAAAGTATTGCTGGGTGTTTAAAAAAATCTCAGTAGTAGCACGGAGATAAGAATTGTGCCCAGTCTATGGCAAAAGGCTCACCACTTATGGATATAAACGTGATGATGAGTTCAAAAAACCGACTTCAAAAACCATAAACTAAAAACCTAACTAACCAAAAAACCCAATGGAAGTTAAGTCCTACTCTTCCCTTTTGGGAAGTCGGTTAGAAACAAAACGATTTTTTTTTAATTGCCTTACACTAGGATTTTCTCCTGTGTCGTGGGTGCGTTTACAAACATACAAGTTCACATACACATGACACTCAGACCCGAAACAACAATTTGTGGATTACACAAAGAGTTGCTCCATGTAGGAATCGAACCAGCAACACGTTGCGCGGCAGCCGCTTGCGCAACCACCGTACCAACCGTGCCGTCCGAATTAAACATGCAAAGAATAGTTTGGCAATCAAATTATAACTGAAATACAAAAATAGAGAAATTTAACATAAGGTACGGGTAATGTACCTATTTATTTGTTTTAAAACAATGTCGGTCGCTTTATACAATATTTATAGACTCCAGCAGTCGACCTACCTGCCATAATTTGTAATAGACTTTGAATCTTATTATTAATATTGAGTACATGCATATCTATTTTATGCCTTTACAATGAAATGGCAAATCAGATCTAATGATATTTGTAAGTATATTTTAGGATTGAAGACACCGAGCCCTTAGAAGTCCCGATAGCAGATATTTCATCGAGATGCGAGACAGAGATACAGTAGGGTAATACCTAGTTTTTTAAATTAAACGCACGTTAAACGAGAAATAATATCTTGTGTGGATTTCAGGAAGCCGTCAGCGCACTCTTTACACTTTGTTATACTAATCCTGAAACAATATTTCAAATAATGAGTTTCAACTTCTAACCACTGCAGAATTTTAAGCAACAAGTTACTAGGACCAGACCCCTTAGTACGAGTTTCTTTAACGTTTAAAGTAATCGAAAAGAAACCTCGTCCAGCGCTCATAAGGCCTCTAGTCTACACAATGATAACGGCAAAAAATCGGTTGCTAAGTCGTATCAATGTATTTTTTTAGTTGACTTTCAACTTTATAATATCCAATATATGTATAATAAAGGGTAAGGATAAAACGTATCCTAAAATTGAAATTCCCTTTACGAAATGTACACTTTAGAGGTTGATTTTTCTCGTTGCCAATGCGTAGGAATTCGAGCGATTCAGGCTTTTTTTTTTATTTTGTGGGGGGGAATCATCCAATGACTTCTCCCGCCCGGGTGAGGCGAGAGGGAGTGTCAGACTCTTACTGACTAAAAACCACCCCGTTCCTACTTCTGCACTTCGAGCCGGAGCCCCGGCAGCCCGTTAAGTCTTCCGCGGCTCCGTATCGGGCTCAGCCCTGTTGGGCCCCATCCGTGGTGGTCTGATGGCTCTTTGAGGCGCGCGCGGAACGCGACGCGGCTTACGCTCGGGCCTGGTTCTAGTCGGGCGGCGAGTCACCCGTGCTCGCCGTCCGCAGGCCCGTGCTTGCGGTGAATGATTCAAGCTTGGGTTCGATTCCCACGCAACGCAGGGCAAAGTATAAGTGACTATGACTATTAATAAAAATAGTAAAATGTGTTTTAATAAAAATGTTATTGCATTATGTACATACCTGTATTTAGAAAGCAGTTCAGTATCCACTTCAGCTAAATTCACATCAGCTTGCACCAACAATTTCGACATACTTCGATTTAAGTTGCTTGTCTCATGATCCAGCATACTGTAATAAATAGAAAATTTTCCTTTAAACAATTATGATTTTTTATTACACTTCATTTTTAAGTAAAGTAACGCATAAATAGTTGGATAGGGGCACATCAACTTTTCATAATATATGGTAACAGAATCTGAAAGATGTTGCAGTAAATGCAGCGTAAAGTTCATATGATTTAAATAAATGAATTTATTAAATAAAATATACAAGAATAAGTTACCTTTCTAAAGATTTACTCAAACGAGTGATATGTAAACGAGCTGATTCAGCCTTTGCTCGCAGTTGAAGCCTCAGCTCTGTTGATGCATCTGGATTCTCCAATACTTTGTAACACCGATCACTGTACAAATAATGATATAATAATATAATATTACCTAGTCCTACAAAATCTTTGCTTTCTATCAAGGAATCTATTAGGTAAAGAGAATTTCGATAATACTTTAGCAAATATCTGAACAAAATGAGGATTTTCGGATATGCTCACGAGATGGCGTTAGAGGCGTAAGGTCCTCTTAGTTTAAAACTAGCTTCTGCCAGCGGCTTCGCCCGCGATCCCAGGGGTAAAATGCCTATGTATCACTTCAGACCATAATCTACCTCTGTTCCGAATTTCATTCCGGTCCCTTCATTCGTTTTAATATGACTGAATAACAAACATACACATAAACTCACAATATTTCATCTAATAATCGAGTCAAGCTAATTTCAACCATTGGCCTTTCAGTTACAGAGTAAAGTCTATGAATGAGTATTGTAAACGTTAGAGTAGACAAATACAATCAGAAATCACCGAATTGCTCAGCTATCGGGAGTTTCACGTGTTATTGTGAGTCAACCATAAAAGATAGACATATGCTGTCGAGAAATATTTTTTATATAATTTTAAGGAAAATATTTCCGTCATACATGATTTCTATGTAGCTTTAACCTATAAGCCTGCACACGTGACGGAAGCTTAAAAAATGGAGTAACTTCTCCCGTTTTTTCCAATATTTCCCTTTACTGCTCTGCTCCTATTGATCGTAGCGCAATGAAAAGTATACTATAACCTGCCCAGGAGTATGAAGAATAATTGTGCCAAATTTCGTTAAAATCCGTCGAGTAGTTTTTGTTTCCATAACGAACATACAGACAACAGACAACAGACAGACAAAAATTTTACTGATTGCATTTTTGGCATCAGTAGCGATCCCTAACCACCCCTTGATAGTTATTTTTTAAATATATTTTATGTACAGAATTGACCTCTCTACAGATTTATTATAAGTATAGATAGCTGTCGCAAGTTGACCGGCTACTTAATGTTTATATATTATGACCTTATGGAATATTCTATTGGAACAAAGACAAAAAATACAATAATGTCTATAGTAACGTAAAAATAAAAATGATCATGATCACTGATGACTATTATGTCAACTACCATGTCATACGCACCATAAAATTTGCACTTGACTCAGAGCACCCTTAATTTCTTGGATAAACATATACATTGCGTACTTAAACTTTTCATTGTTTTCTTTTATCAAACAAGGATCGATTTCTTCTAAAGCTATACGTTCATTGGGCCTAAGTGAATCTGTTTCTTCTATATTATTGCTAAAAGATTCGTCATGTAGGTCGCCACTGTTATCATCTTCTGAACAGTATTCCTCTGTTAAATACTCTTCATCCTCATCATAGTCCAATTCTTCATCGTGATTTTCATAAAGGTTACTAATATGCAATTTTTTCTCTAACTCTGGAAATGCAGTGAATTTCCTTATAATACTTGGCTGGCTGGTTGGTGCATTATTTTCTTTTTCCGTTGTATTCGTAGCTGTTTCAACAGTGTTTAACGGTGTGTCTCTTTCCGCTACTTTATAACTATTTGTTTTTTCTTCGCTTTGCAAATTGCTCTTATCAATCAAACCATTGTTAGATGTACTACTTTTTTGAAAAGTCAAATGTTTAAACAAGGAAGGATTTATATTAATATTTCTAATAAATTTTACTTGCGTCGGCGTTTCCTCCTAAAAGCAAGTCGTAATAAGAATAAGAAACACGGTAACAATTTTAAAAAGAATGTTCATAGAATACTTACTTGAACTAGTTTTCTTTTCATTGGGGATTTTTTATTAACTTCTGCGATATTATCATTATCATCAATTGACATTTCATGATCGTGTTCCGATACCCCATCATTGTTACCCGGTAAATCTATAAAGTATTTTTAGACAATCAAATATTAAAGCGTAAACCTAATAATATCGATAAAAAATTCGAAGTGTATATTGTCTGAATTCGATACAAAATCAAAATGAATTTCGACAATATACCTAGGTACATATTTTAACACAACACAAAGATTACAAAAATATACCTGAATGTAACATCGCATTATTATTTGATGAAGTTTCGTGAACATTATCGTTAAAACTGTCGTTTACACTATGATCCACGCAAGGATTCTTTATATCGTGTAGTAACGTATTTAACGATTCCACAGCAATTTTTATATCTTCAATGTTATAGGTGGCCTCCTACACAAAGAAAATATGTCATATAACTAGGTAATATCAGCTGTTATATTTATTTATTATTTTAATTTATATGTATTTAATACTTACCATTAATGCACCAAGCAGATGCATACCATAGCTATACATTTGCATATATTGAGATGCAGTCATATTTAACGCAATGTTACCTATAAAGAAATAAATATTAAATAACATCATATTAGTTAACATTTATAATTTTGAAAAATTTAACAATAAGGAATATTCGATCGGATTGATAGAATACAACAGTCAGCACTTCTCTGTTTCGCCATACTTAAGGTGCGTGATTTCGACTATAATGCAAAACTGTTACAAAATAAATCACGTAGACATCTTACCTTTAATATCACTGACACAAAAGATCATATTGGACAATTTGTTAGCTGCCTCTTTAATATCTTTATAATCACTGAACTTCATTGCAATACATAGAGCTGCCTCGTGTAATGTCCAAGGAGGCGGTAACTTAGAATTTGAAAATGGTGGATCCTGGTGTAATACTTGGGTTAAAACTTCTTCCATTATCTGAACAAATCTAGATATCCATTCATCACATTTCACTTTTAAATACTGCTCCATAGTTGTACTATCGACTCTATACATGGACTTATCATTGTTTTTTCTATGAAATACCTGATTTGATGAAGTAGTAAAATTATCATCAACACTGCTCTCAGTGTTAGATATTATACTAGATGTTGAAGTTTCATCAATTGTTACATTTTCTTGACTTACAGAATTCCGCGGATGAGCAATAATACTTGATTCTCTACTCTCAATACTGTCATTTACAACTTTATTGTCTGTGCTTTCAGACACAGGGTCGTCGGTAGATGGTTCGTCGTGTTCCTTCGGATTATCATTGGATGAAAAAAATGTTTCCAGTTCTTTAGAGCTTGTTATTTCATCACTATCAGTTGGAATTTGTTTATTCGATTGAGAAGTAGTGTTTCTACGCCTGCGCCATTTATATTTAAATTGCCTGTTTTCTTCAGAATTTACAGGTGGTTGACTTGACACACTACGTTTAAGTTTTATTCCTCTCTTCTTAGATACATTTACGACGGCTGAAGTCTCAGGAGGCCTCGTAACTGCTTCTTTTCTGATTTCAATATTTTTTGATACTCCAGGAAACTCTTCGAGTTCTTTCGAAACACTACTATTAGACTCGTTATATTTTAAATCAGTCTGAATGCCAGCATCAACAGTATGTTTCAATGATACTGGTTTTTCTGTATTATCTTTTTGATTTGGTGCTATTTCAGGAACTTCGTCAATAATTTCATCATATTTAATATCTTTATCAGGACTGGTAGTGTCTCGATTTGGTGAAAAGTTGTTTGGCACAGTAATCTTTATTTTATTCAGAAGTTCGTTTACAGATAATTTTGGTTTTGGAACGACATTAGGGGTTACTATCTGTTGTTTCTTTGGTTGAATCCCTAAAAGGTTACGAACTTCACTTATGGTAAACATGTGAATATTTACCAATGACTTTTTAGTAATTAACTCATTATCGTTGGTTAAAAGAATCTAAAAAAAAAAAAAAATTATACCTGTTTGTTTAGTATAGATATTAAAACAAATTAAGATAAGTAACATGTCCAGTGCAACTTGTAAAAGACATACATTTGGTGACCAAAATAGTGAGAGTGGAACAAAAAGAAAACAGCAATAATAATAATTGAATATCCACTTCCAATAATTGTGTGACACACCTGTATAGCACAAATACTATTCTCTAATATTTGTAATTTAGATATTAGATACTGAACAGATGCTTAGTTTTTTTCTTTTAAACGTTGCACCACACTAGGATTTTCTATTGTATCATAGGTGCGTTTACAAATATACAAGATCACATACACATGACACCAGAACCAAAAAAAAAAATTGTGGATCACACAACAAGATGTTCCGAGCGGGAATCGAACTCGCTACATATTGCATGGTATTGGTAGCCGGTTACTCAGCTACCGCGCCAATCTTGCAGTTGTTGACTGACTGAACGGTTTGAGGACGTGATTTGTATTACATATTTATATATATATATATAATGTCTTGTGAAACTACATTTTACAAAAAAAATAAACGCTTTGTGTTGTTGAATACTTACAAAATGATATTTCTTTTTTACAAGTTCAGCACAAGTTGCTTCTATCACTTCTGTCATAGACAAATTTTCTGCTCCACATGGATATTCCGCTATATGAAAAAAATAACTATATTATTCTAGATTAGATTAGACTATCAAAAAGACTAGCATATGACAATTATAATTAGTCATCAATTTCTTTCTAATATTATAAGATTTTACTACTTTCTAAAATCATAAATTCATTTCCACTTGGGAGCAAAGATTTGGAACCACTAGCGTTTAATTTTTTTTTCATTTCTGGATAAATATTATCTGATATAAGTATTTAATGTGTTTAGTGCTAAAAAGAATAATTTCTTTTAGTTATATAGTGTACAATAAAATGAAAAAAGTGCTAATAGGTCCGATTCTTTGCTCCACAGTGTATGTAGATTTTGGTTTGTAAATATTATGCAAGACCACAGGGTCTTGCATAATATTTAACCTGAACCTGTGTTCTAACACAACAACTTGATGTTTACAGCAGCACATTTAAGCACATGAATAATCAATTTGACCTTTTCCAAACATAAAGTGTTGAACCAAATGATGTCGTCTATTTACTATCTTTATTATGTAACCTTATTTAATAAATACATACCCATGAAAGCATAACCAATCTCAATCTGTTGTGACAGAAATCGTAAGATACGTCTCGCTTGGACATTCTCAGTACATGTCACATAAATTCTAAGTTCCTCCATAACCCGTTTAGGAACCATAAGATGACATATTTCATCTGAAATAATACAGGATTTTTAAATTGAATAAAATGTACCCTTTTTCCTTTGGTCATCCCATCAAATGTTAGGCTACTGATATCGTTAACACTTTTTGTTGAGTTTGTTATCAAGAGAAAGTTCCTAGGTACCTAAATTGGGAAATGAACAACTGTGGAAAGCCATTAAACAACAAATAAATACCTGTCCAAAGCATTGCCAGGCCAATAGCGTTAAATAAAATTAAATATTTACATTCAATTACCTGAATCTGTTACTGTATTAAGAAATTTGAACTCATTTAGTAATACTTCCAAATCCATAACTATAAACCATGCATCTGAATTACAATCCGAAGATGCCAAATTCTTCATAGGAGTTATATCAATCTTTGAAGAATCTTCAAGTATTTGTTCTGTGCCTTTGCTATCCTGAGAAAAACAAAGCATTGAAATTATTGCCAATCATATTTTTTTAATGATGATAAAATTAATAAATAGACTTTTAATTTAACCTTATTTCCAATTCTGCTTTGAAAATCATTAGAATGATTTCCGTGTTGGTTACCGTTTATGTGGACACCAGATCCTGAAAAATGTCATGTATTATCTTTAAAACACATTTCATAATGAATGAGTGTTGACTAGCTAATAGCCCTAGTTAACTATTCAATAACAACTACACATCAATATAAAAAGATCAATTAGAGGTTAACATAATTGTGCATAAAATATATCTTATTTAGTGAGTAAAACTAGAAAAAAAATAAGGCAATGACTATAAAATACAATACCTCCAGGTTTTCTTTGAAACCTATTCTTAAAAGATAACATTTGTCGTAGATCTTTCTTGTTTGCAAATCCATGTTTCTTGTTGATAGGCTGCTGAAATCCCTTTCTAAACTTCAAATCCCTTGTGTTAAATGCATAGGACCCTACTTGAATACTTGAAGTACTTGCATTGTTTAAATTGTCCAAAATGATTCCAGTAGAAGATTCTATAAACTTGTTGTAAGCCCCATTCAAAGAATTGGGACCTTGATTCACTATAGGAGCTATTGGTGTTGGTATGAAAATTTGTTGTGCTTGAGGAACTGCCCAAACCTTAGGATTATACATAGGAGTAGGATTACTCAAATTGAAAGTATGTGTAGGATTATTCAATAAATTCATATTACAAATAGGACCCAAAGAAGAAGTATTAGTAATTTGTGTGCCCTGTAAAATACTTGTCATTTGGTTCAGAGGAACATTCAAATTCGCCAAAAGTGATGATGGTTGTTCTTGAATAATATTCAATTGAGGATTTTCGAAAGGAGGGATTCTTTTCTTAAGGGCTGGTTGAATTGGTTCAGGATTTGGGGAAGGACTTGGTGGTTTTTCCTTCGGTTCTGGGCATGCAAGTTCAGCACCTGGCAACTGTTCAAGACGTTTAGTCGTCTGCCTTGCCTTCTCAATCTACAAAATAAACATGACAAAATTATAACAAATGGCTACTTTATAGTTTTTGTGAACATTTTCTCGGTGGAACAATTTCAAATTATGTACCTCCGCATCACTAAGATTCCACGCTGCTTGCCCAGTTAAACTATTGAAATAATACACATGTCCTGGATGGGATTTTGATTTACAAATTATCCAAGAGTTGCCAAGAGAAGTTACTTTGCGCCGGTTTATATCTTTATTCATATTATGGTATATTCAATTTCTTTTTCAACTTCAAAATAAACGCTTCCCTGAACAGTTTTACTTTCATCAAAAATATGTGAACTGAGATGTCAAAATAATTCAAATTGTCAATCTCACAAAAAAAGTCAAATGACAGGCCACAGATCACAGATTAGCACCGGGTTGGCAAATGTCAAAATGGCGCTAGCATCGATGGTCCAATACCATTGTTAACTTTCTATGAGTGTACATATGGTGTACATGAATAAAACAAGGGACATTGAAAAAATGAAACTTTTTCAACGTCCTTATCTATAGATATTCATGGTTAACTGCCGATTTCAATAATTGTCCAGACTCTTCAGACAGAAACACCATAGAAGTAACGTCAAAAATCGATCTATAAGATCTATACCTACACATAGGATTAAGATTGAGAATTTGAATAGGCAGTTAAAGATTTAAAAAAAAATCGTTACTCGACCCTAGGATTTTGTCCTGTATCGTGGGTACGTTTACAAACAAACAAGTTCACTTATAATGACTAAAAACCACCCTATTCCTACTCGTGCACTTCGAGCCGGAGCCCCAGTAACCTGTTAAGTTCTCAGTGGCTCCGTATCGGCATCAGCCCTATTCGGCCCCAACCGTGGTGGTCTGATGGCTCTTTGAGGCGCGCGACGAATACGACGCGCTGTATGCTCGGGTCTGGTTCTGGTCGGGCGGCAAGCCACCCATGCTCGCCGTCCGCAGGCCCGCGCTTACGCTGGCCGGAGATCGTTACGCGATCCCCGACGCCCGGAGTGTCTTTCGCGACGGCTGGGTTGTGAGGAGTTAGCGCTTCGCTTTCTTATGCGCCCCACCTCCTCCTTAGCTAGCATGACTGCTTCGCAAAAGGAGGAGACGGCATCCCAGTCCCCCTCGCTCCGCATCATGGCCCGCACTAGGGCCGGACGCGACAGGTCGCTGTCGCCGACCACGTCCCTGAGGGCACGGCGGTGCTTAGCCCACACAGGGCATTCCGCTACCGTGTGTTCCACCTTGTCCTCAGGGCGATTCTCGCAGTAAAGACAGCATGGCATTTCCTCCCGTCCTATCAGACACATGTACCTCTCGAAGCTCCCATGTCCGGTGAGGACCTGCGTCAGGCGATAGGTGAGGACGCTGTAGCGTCTCTCAAGCCACTTCTCAAAGAGGGGACTTACCGCTGCAATGGCGGCGAGTCCAGCCCTCGGTTGCGACAGTCGTTGCTGCAATTTCGCCATGAGATCGCGCCGGAGCTCTTCCCGCCACGCACTAATCTGGCGCAGCAGCAGAGTTTCGCCCCGATGACGTGCCTCTGCGCGCAGACAAAATACGCGCACGAGCACCTGCGCCTCCAGATCCCATGGCGGTACCACTTAAGACCAAAACATTTCAATTAGGTAAACGGTTGGTTCGGTTGGCTGTATATACTGAAAAACTTGCGCTATCTTTTATCTCTGAAGAGTAGTCCTTCAGTGACCATGAACACACCACGAGTTACAAAACTTGACATGTAACGTTGGACATCTTCTTAGAATAGCTTGATATTGATTCGTTCAGTAATATATGAAGAGGCAGAATGCAGTACCTAAGTACCTATTGGATTTTGTACACGTAACACTCCTAACGTTAAAAAATCCTCAAATTATACCTACTGGTCATTATAAGCAATTTTAAATCTAGTTCTGTATTTTCTAAGTATCCCAGACATACTCAGAAAACTCTCAATAATACACTATCACGAATTGCTACAACTCTATAAAACTCTCCCTCCTGAAGCAGAGCAACTGCCCTAGCAGCGGTGTCCTTGGTCAATTGAAAATCAGCCATTGTATTCACAATTATTACACAAACCAAAAAAAGCACATAACGATTAACCTTACATTGACACCATAAGAATTCTTCACATCTCGTTTTTGTCAAGCACTTCACTATTTCTGCTTATACATAAAACGCACAGTCTGAAACTTTAGTATTTTCTTATGAACACGTTAACTACATAATCAATTGCTTTATTTTAGGAATTAATATCTCATGCGTTATTTCAAGACAAATATACGAAATATTCGTTGGTGGCTTCTATTTTGTTTCGACGAATCTCTCCTATCTTGCGAGAACTTACTTTTGTATGCTTTTTTTTGCAAGTATTGTGTAAATATTTTAATTTAAATTAAGTAGGTATATTATAATAAACATTCAAACAAGAGATTTAAGGTACAGAAAAAAAGTTTACAAAATAAACATTTAGATACTTACTTAAGTATTATCACGTTCTTTTCTGTTGGAAATAAGAACATAATTACATATTTTGCCTAAAATCTCACAAAAATCGGTCGAGATTGCATTCCCCAAATACAGAGTGTTTGGCGTATTAGACACAGGACGCAAAAGTTAGGTACCTACCTACCTATTTTGAGTGGAAACATTTTGGGTACCTAATAATAGTACCGAAGGGTTTATGGGCAAAAGGTAGCTAATGACCTCCCAAATCCTGAAAAAAGATTGTCGTTCCGTGCACCAAACTACGAAACATGGCACCCAACGTGGGGCACCATCGGATATTCTGAATGCCCGGAGGCTCCCAATCCCTGAATCCCCAACAATCCCTATTGTTAATCCCCCCAATGGCCGTCATTACACTTGTAAACACCTCTTGCGTTCCCAGTGTCCATGGACGGTGCAGTGCCGATTGTTTACCATCAGGTGATCCATCTGCTCATTTACCGGTTTATTCCATAAAAAAGGGTACCGATCAGATTGTGACTAATCAATCGTGAACTGCAATTAGTTCATAGATATAGTAATAATTATATCAGTGGATAGCCGTCACGATAACGAACGAAAGTGGAAAGGCTTGTACTTTGCGATTTTGAAACCATTTTCTTTGATAGAAAATACTTTTTTGATAAATGCTGGCAGGATTTGCTGTCAAAATTGTTGTAAACATTCGAAGATCGTAATATTTTTCTACGTAATGGAAAATAGAAAGGTAAAAATTATCCCAATAATGATAATAAATCATATAGGTACCTACACAAGAACTTTCCGAAAAATGCCGTCACGGTGATACAGAGATCACTGTCTCATTTCTAAAATGGGATCGGTTAAAATGTTTGAGTGACTAATTTCTTTTGCGGTTGAAATGAACAAATTTGAAAGTTAACATACTAAATGATAGAAAATAGGTGAAGGAGACTTCCTTTTCTGAACAAAACAAACCCAGACCAATGGAAATAGCTACTGTAAGTATGTACAGATTTTCTTCTCTTTAATGCGTATTCGTACACTATCTAAGTACTCCTGCGCGGTTACACCCGCTCTGCTCGCTATTATAGCGTGATATTTCATGTAGCTTTTCTTGATCTACCTTACACAAAAACAATTAGGTATTTAATTCGAACTAGTAGTTCTGGAGATAAACGCGTTCAAACAAACAAACAAGCGAACAAACTCCTCAGTTTTATAAATAAAAGTAAAAAGTACATGATGTAAAATCGCGCTTCTATCTCAAGGCGATAAGCAGCATAGAAATATTCAAATCTATACCTACATTTATTATATCTATGGCAGCAACCTAGCTGAGTGTCACCTACAATACTTGTAGTTTTCTTTATATCCATACCTAAACACTATTTGTCCTAGATAAAGGCATGTGTGCAGTCTACACTTGCTCATTTCAATTGCGAATCAGTGACTTAGTTCCAAAGTTACCAAAATATATCTGAATGAATAAAACAAGGTTACATGTCTCAATTTTATTTAATAAAATATACCTCTAGTTTTTAACTATCCACCCTACAATTAACATACTGATATTGATAAATGTAGTTCCAACTTTGTGCTGAGAACTGAGAATAAATAGTAAAAGAATTAATAATTAAAAATATAAAAAAATCTAAATTCACTAATGAAAACCTAATTATCTTAAACCAATATATTTATTCCATACCCAGCAAAATTCATACCTCCATACATAGATCACCTACTATGCAATAGGGCAGATGATTATTTTTATTTTAATGTCCGTCTGGTAGATTATTTTAAAACATTACATAATAGTTTCGTTTCTGTAAAAAAAAACTACATAATATGAAACTTTCGACGATATATTGATTTGAAATGTCGCGTGACGTCACTTCTATGTACATTTTATACGTAGAAATGACGTTTTAGCCCCCACTCCTAAACTTTGATTTGTTATATCTAAGTATCATTTTATTATACAACAAAATAAAAAAAATACGTGTATAACATTTTTTCATTACCTAACTGATGGACTAATTAGATTTTTAATTTTCATACCCAGGTCAACATCCCAATTTAATATTAAGTATTATGCTTATTTAGATACTAGCTTTTACCCGCGGCTTCGCTCGCGTCACAAAAAAATAAAAAATAGCCTATGTGACATATACCAATACACACAGCGCCATCTATACCAATACTTTTATTTTTCCTCGGGAATATCATTTTTTTCCGGGTTAAAAAGTACCCTATTATTTAATCCGGACTTCTAACTTTACGTCTGCAAAAATTCAAAGCAATCGGTTGAGTAGTTACGGCGTGATGGTGGAACAAACAAACAAACAAACAAACAAACTCACTTTCAGATTTATAATATTAGTAAGGATACCCATAAAAGTTGCTTATTAATTCAATTGCTACAAAAGACTGCAAGTTTCATTATTGTGGAATATAGCTCAGCTATAAAATATGTTAATTGAATATGAGGCACTACAATACGAATAAAATGGATATACCATGTATGCTAAGCAAAATTTACATTTAGGTATTATTTAGGCATTAAATAGACATAATTAATATTTAGTTCAACTATGTTGATTTCATTGATTTATCATTGTTTCCTACTTACTAATTCTAGAGTCCACTTGATTTCCATTTAAAATTAATAACTAACATATTTTAATAACATGTAGATACTTAGTATCTACTTAACAATAATATAAACACATCTTACACCTGTACTCTATGGTTAATACTAATTGCTAATATAATAAATGCAAAAGAAACCCTATTTGGAATTTATATTCACGACCAAACTGTTGGGCCTATAGTGATGAATTTTTTAAATGGCAAGATGTAGGCAAGAAATTTCATATTGGCGAAACTGCAGAAAATATATTAAAAAATCGTAATCGTAAATTGTACTAAATCGATATTCCTGTATAATGTTGTAATGATATTTATATATCATTTTTTACTTATCCTTAACAATAATATATCAGCACTTCTGTAATTAATGTGTTGTTCTTCCTCAGGAATTTTATCCACGTTAAAGTTGTCTGTTAACTTTCCATAAAATGAACTCCATAGTTCTCTCTGTGTATCAGAATCTCTCATCTCTTGTGTTAAATACATAACAGGTTTCTTAGATGATGTGTTTGTTAAACTTTTTAGAGTTTGAATAAGTGAGTCAACAGCCTGAAATTAAAGTATTTTTATTACTATTTGGCATACCAATGATTAATTAAGAGATATGTTTATTCCAGTATTTCTTGAAAAGGCTATTTTTTTTATTCTTCTATTAAATTTATTTTATTTTTAGCTATAATCATCAAATAACTGTACTGTCTTAAATGCACAATGTATTACAAAATATTACCTCTTCATAGTAAACACAGTCTGCCAAAACGACAACATCAAATTCATCATCCAAAAGAGAGCTGCTTTCTCCCCATATGAGAGACTCTGCTATAGCATAACCACCCATACTACCTATCTTTGCTTTGTTTTCATTAATGTTTAGACGAATCAAAGGTAGGGCCTCCGGTAAATCCGTTAATGTTACTTGTGCACTATAAAAAAATGAAAAAAAAAACAATTGTTTCTGAATGTGGGTTTGTAATTACATAAGATAAAATTTATAAATAAACAACGCACCCTAATGTAGCAGCAGTGAGACCGACAACACCTACTCCAGAACCTAATTCAAGAACTCTTATCCCGCTAAGAAATTCTGGTTTGTTCTGGCACATAGTTTCAAGGTACTTCGCAAGTACTAATGCTGCGTCCCAAACAACACAATTAACGTCTCCCTCTAACTTTTGATATATTTTCAACGTTTTCAAACATATCTCAATATCTATTTCCCGAGGGAAAAGATCTGTGTTTTGTGCAAGTGATTTCCTTTGTGCCATTATTTACAAATTACAGCCCAGTGTTTACAAAATATTTGGGCAACACATAAACAAAAATGTGGCTTTCAAATTTTTTTTTTACATTGGAAGTTGAAATTAAGTTTAGTCTATCTAGTTGATATTGTTATATTTTTGACAACAACAACATTTTTTTTATTTGAATTAAAACTTGAATTGAATTGAAATCGTTGAATGGTGACACCGTAAATCGCTATGTCGAAATGAAAATTGTCAATGATGTCAATGTCAAATTGTCAAATGTCGAAATATGAGTGAGACAGAAACGGAATTCCTGTTTGCATTTCGTTTTACCTATCTGCAAATTACACGTTATTGAAAACCACTTTTATTCTTTTTAATCATGATAAATTCCATGTAAAAAGGAACCCAACTAGGGTAGGAAAGGAGCTTATTCCAATAATATTATTATAAGAGTACTTTAACGCATAACATTTTTGAAAATCGATATTATACTATGCCAAGGCCTGGAATCGAACCTGAAAGAAGAACATAGAAACTCAAAAGTCGCATTTACCGCGACTTGGGTAATAATATCTTATTTAATCTAGTAATGAATAATTTTAATTTTTACAGAAAATAATGTTGTCTTGAGCTTTTATATGTTTTATGTCGTTTGGTTGGTAGTAAAATAACTAAAATGGCAATACCGAAATCATATGACAGTCAGTCGCCTTTTTCCGAACAAAATGGCTGTGACCATGGCTCTGTTTTGGGTTTCTCTTGTTCTTTCAATAATTGGTAAGTATATTTAAAATCTACGTGGATATAAAATATATCGGACAATAGCATAACCCGTTATTATTATGTTTTAGGTTCAAATGCCAGCGGAGAGTTCAACATACTCCATAGTCCAGACTCCCTAAAATTCACGGGATCAGGAAAAACATCAGAGAGCCTCTTGAAAGAGATATTTTCAGCTGCTCTTGGACTGTCTGTTGAAGAGGTAAGATTTCTAACGAGTTTTGCTCTATTGAACAAAACTTTTCGATGGTAGATATTGGATTTATTTTGGGGTGTGATAAAAAGGATAGCATCTCGAGAATTTTAACTTTGTCTTAAAATAAGTACATAATTGCCATAATATGGCTGTAAATATCGACTAAGAATGATTTTAAGAGTACACACACAGGCTCATTGGAATAGTCTTATTAGATTTTGGTCAAAGTGTAACAGGGTGCTATGTAAACTGATCAGATTTAATATAAAATAGGTGTTCGTTTTACAAGAAAAAGCAATTTTATCAATATTGGTTTGTCATGCATTCAATTACTGTTTTCCAGAATTCAGAATGGAAAGGAATGTATGTTGTGGATCCTTTTAACACACCTGAAGCTGTGGTTGAAATTTACATAGATGGTGTCCCAAGCCTTGGTCATGTAAGTATAGTAATATTATCGCAAGAGACTGTTCGATTATAATTCTCTGTCTGATGTTACTCTATTATGTTTTTTCTCATTGACGAGGTAACTTGACACTAAAGTTACTTGCACTACACAATTGAAACAAATTGTTTATAATGAAACAAATATGGAAAACAATTTACTTTCAGGCGGGATTGAAAACCAAGACCTATCCTTTGATAGTTGATGAATATGAACCAGACACCTACCACGGTGTGAAGCACCGAATCGAGCAGCGCTTCACCAACGGCAGAAACAAAATTGTTAACATCAAACTGACTGATGTTGATGAGGTAACTGAAAAACTTTTTTTATAGTTTATTATGAACCCTCTTATCTACCTTTAAGTCTGCTTATAATGTCGTATTTAGGCTGACTTACTTCATTTAAACACATGAATTTAGTTCACTGATCATACATGCATAATATAGTATATGTACATAACCTCACGTCTGTCTCCCATCCGGGTAAGCAGAGATTATGGAACCCCAATTGCTACAATAGTTATAGGAATATATTATTATTGTTTCACTGACCACTGTACTGATACAGCAATCTGATTAATTTCAGTCATACTCATGTGTATATTACTTCTTTATAAGTGAAGGTTACTTATGATGTTTAATACTTTATAGCTCAAGAAGAATATCTTTGGAGAGGCAAAGAAATCCAAGCCAACGAAACTAAACCTTATGCACTTAAAATATAATGTAGAAGAAGACTACCACTTCTTGAATGAGCTGGCTTCCCTGCAAGCTATTACTACAAAGGTAAATTAATTAAATTACAATATTCTCATTATGTTTTTATTTAAAACATAACATTTAAAGGAAATAATTCTGTACTAAAGGTAGTTAACATTTTAAAACTCATTTCCAGATTGAGAATGGAGGTATTGTCCCTGATAACATGATTGATTTCTACAACTTGCGCTTCCGTACTCTGCATCCTCTGAGTGACTTCCATGGCCCTAACTCTGTCTATACCAAAGAAGCCAAGAAACTATTAGGTAAGAGGAAAAGATATTTGACATTCATTTGCAGTTTAGTATTAATTTATTCTGTAAGATTTATATTGTGAGCCAATCAAATTAATGTTGGATATTTCATACAGGTGAAGCTATTGATCAACTCAACAAGGCATTCATCAAAGCTTATGATGGCTCTGTATTAGTAACTCTTGTCACTACCGATGTTGCTCACACTCGCCGCGCCATTCGATCTGCTCCCGCTGCTGGCCCAGATGGCAAGGCACCAGAATATGAATGGCAAACAAAGGAATTCAAAGCGGTAAGACACCAAGAACTTTTCACTCAACTTATAGTTCCTATCTAAGCAAACACCAATATTCGCATTACTAACAAAAAATTTTCAATTACAGGAAGATGAAACTGATGACAGTTACAGCTCTGAATACCCTGCCATCTTCAACATTATTCTTTGGTTTGCTGTTGTAATCATTTTCAGTCTGATAGCGATTGTATACGCTCTGATGGACATGGATCCTGGCAGGGACTCCATCATCTACAGGATGACTAGCACAAGAATGAAGAAGGACAATTAAGTCTTTAAATCTGTAGAACTTAAATAAGTTCTTATTGCAGTATTGTATTAGAGTCCAGTTTATTTAAATATTGGAACTAAGAGAAATCACGTTGTTGCTCCTTGAAAATTAATATTGTACAGACCTTTGTTGACTATTTCTGTACATACAAAACTTGATGTTTAATATTAAAAATAGTGTTTATTTAGTTATAAAGTAAACCATTGTTATGTGCTTAAACCATCGTTATTTATTTTCAAATTGTATTATATCTATATCCTATGAATCTTGTGTATCTACAAGTTTACCTTTCAGAAATTTTTTCACTACTACAGCCAATAATTTATTACATTTTTTTTTTAAATAAATGTAATTTCTACTGTGATTTATAGAGGTGTTTATTTCTGTAAATAATTAACTTTGCACGTTGATATACATATTGCTCTATATAAATCAATATTTACAGCTTAGTGTTGTTCTGTGTGAATTGGTATATGTAGCGAGATACTGTTGCGATTTTGTGAAAATAAATACATTCCCTGTACTAAACAAATTTCATTTTAATCTATTACTTTATAATTTTATCTCAACATCTGTTTCCTAGCAAAATACTCTCGTTCAAAGACCATGAGTAGCATTGGCTTTAATTCTACATATTTAGTAATTATCTAGTTTTTGTAAATAGGTAGATATTTCAGAGCAACAGATAAACTAACGCCCGAATACTGAAAGGCTACTACTCTACGCTACTCATTTTATTATGTTGTACTTAAGTATCGTGCCATCTGTTATTTTACAAGAAATTTGTAGTAAGTAAACAAATATTAAAAATATATCTATGGATAGAACTATTCATAAGCGCGACTTAAAATTTAGTGATGTTTGAGTGTTTCGAGGTTAAAAGCCTATGTTCACATAGCAAGCGTTAAAACTTACATTATTCAGACTGTTCACACGTGTAATAAAATATATGTAGGTATCTCTAATCTCACTTTATCAAAACACGCTCTTTAGGGGCCTGAAACTGCGTTAAGCGGGCGCCCGCAACGTTCAATCGTCGCGTTTGAGCTCCGACACGACGGTCCCCTTTGACATGGCCACCACGACGGACGGATGGTGTTGTATGGCCACGGAATCTGCGCGCTAAACTTTGTAGACACAACAATAAACTGTTTGCATTTTCTCTGCGTACCTAACTCCTATACATCTTCCTTACTTACTTTAAAATTATATAATTTTGGAACATATTGTATTTTCGGCATGGGTAAAATGGGTAAAAAAAAAGAAGTTCTCCATCGACACGACTAAACAAGCACACCGTTAAAATTGTACTGTGACAATGCAATGTAAAGCCGGGTACTCATTAGCGAGCTGTAACTGTAACCGTTGCATGTACTGTAAGCAAAAACCAAAAAACAGTGTGTACGTGGTTCGCAAACCTGCTGCGAGCGGTACGCGTGCGGCTTGCAGCGACCCGACGTTTGCAACGTACTCATTTCTAAACCCGTAACGTTGCCCGTAACTGTAACCGTTACTGTTACCAAAAACATAATGTGTACGTGGTTCGCGAGCCTGCGACGAACGCTACAGGAGCGACTCTCAGCGAGCCGACGATTGTCGGTTTTTGCCGCGGATCAAAGGCGCTCGCAGTGCGCTCGTGGACGTCAAGAGGAGAGGTTGCAGCTGTAATTTCGAGTTATTCCTTCGTCATTATGAGTGAATGCTCAGAGGATAAATGTGTTTTGCTGATAGACGCCTACAGGGAAAATACTGTACTATGGAACCCTAAGGACAAAGATTATTACAAAAATCATTTGAAAGAAGAAGCCTGGGCTAAAATCGGAGATATTATGAATAAAAGTGGGGGAGCATGCAAACAAAAAATGATTAATTTCACAGGTGAGAGACACTTCGTCCGACATCGTGGGCAAAACTGCGGGCAGAGCATGTCTCCCCGTTCGTTATTCCCCTTCCCCCGTACACACTAGAACCTCGTGACTGTATCTGTTTGGTTGTAACCAAACACGCAACTGTAGTTGCAGCTCGCAAAATGAGTACGCTCGGTAAAAGCGTTCCGGCGACGTCGTGACCCGTAATTGTAAGACGCGTACACACTAGAACCTCGTCACCTCGTTACTGTATCACATAAGTTACGGTTACAGCTCGCTAATGAGTATCCGGCTTAAATCGGTCGAAGCGACGTGTACCGTCGCGTATCCACGGTTCACGGAGCCCTCACTTAACAAACACGGCCCCGGCACTACATTTTCGCTTGATATTATATCAGTGATATATTATTATATCTATGGTTGAACAAAAAATTCTCAGTAGTAGCACGGAGTCTGGAATTGTGCCCGGTAGGTATATGGCAATAGGCTAACCCCCTAATAGGGGGTTAGCCGACCAGAACCATGTAATCATGGGACTTATAACATAAATAGTGAAAAGTGGGTGTTATACAGTGGCATTTAAGTGCCGTAATGTGCACCTCTGCCTATCCCTCCGAGGATAATAGGCGTGATGTTATGTTGAACACAATCAAATAATACGAAAAAGTTTAAGCTTTTTTATATAGCGTTATGGGTTGGAGCCGTGCTTACTAGGTGCGCGATGACCTTAATGTCATGTGCCAATGTGCCATACTCGAAGGCCACTCAATTTTAAGTCGCGCGTATAGTTTTGTCACTACTAAATACATTGTAAATGAAATGAATAAACGAAAATAAAATGCCACGATATTTAAGTACTTACCTATGACTTAGAATTGAAGTAGCCTTCAGTATTCGGACGTAAGGAGACTGTTTACGCCGACGGCGCCATCTAGTTAAAGCAAAAAATTAGGTCCTTAGCCTATGATATTATGGGCTCGCTGTCATTGCAGCGGTAAGTCCCCTCTTTGAGGAGTGGCTTGAGAGACGCTACGGCGTCCTCACCTACCGCCTGACGCAGGTGCTTACCGGGCACGGAAGTTTCGGTAGGTTCCAGTTGCGGATTGGGGGACATCACTGTGAGGATCGCCCGGAGGACACGGTGGAGCATACGGTGGCGGTGTGTCCTGCGTGGACTGAGCACCGCCGTGTCCTCAGGAATGTGATCGGCGACGGCGACCTCTCGCGTCCGGCTCTGGTTCAGACCATGGTACGGAGCGAGGGGGACTGGGATGCCGTCTCCTCCTTCTGCGAAGCAGTCATGCTAGCTAAGGAGGAGGCAGAGCGCGTGAGGGAACGAACCTCCTCACGACCCGGCCGTCGCGAGAGACACTCAGGGCGTCGGGGATCGCGAGACGATCTCCGGCCTCCGTAAGCACGGGCCTGCGGACGGCGAGCATGGGTGACTCGCCGGCCGACCAGAACCAGGCCCGAGCGTACGGCGCGTCGCGTTCCGCGCGCGCCTCAAGGAGCCATCAGACCACCACAGATGGGGTCTAACAAGGCTGATGCCGATACGGAGCCGCGGAAGACTTAACGGGTTGCCGAGGCTCCGGCTCGAAGTGCAGGAGTAGGAACGGGGTGGTTTTTAGTCAGTAAGAGTTTGACACTCCCTCTCGCCTCACCCAGGCGGGAGAAGTCATTGGATGATTTTCCCCCCTCAAAAAAAAAAAAGCCTATGATATTAAATAATAAGCACCCTGGCCGAATTAGAACATTTTCTCAATATTTATTCATCCCTCTTCTGTATCTATTCACCTCTCGAATTCTATTTACCCCGTTTTACCGTTAGGTTGTCATATGGGTACTGAGGCCCTGGCTTTGAGCTTTGTTGGAAGTACTTGGAAGGAATGGGGTGGTTTTTAGTTAGTAAGAGTTGTAATAGTCACTTCCTCAAGAGTCATTTGATGACCCAACAAAAAGGGGGGCGGCATAATCGGTATTTGCATGTGGGCGCTCTATTATACCCAAGGAATGTCACACCTTTATTCCCGCCCGTCAGCGTGACTTTACTCCTCGCCTCAAATGCATACAACCCCGTCCTTTAGAAAACAGTCAGTCTTATTTCATCCACAATTCCGTGCACTCGTGAGTCACACTCGAAATTATATGTACCTCTTAATTTGTGAAGTTTAATTAAATAAAAATATTTTTTTTTCTACGAACTGCTGTGATTCCTTTAAGAAGAGAACTTAACATATCAAAATCTAACAGCTCGAATAGCTAGCGGCGGGCCTGTAAGCACCTTAGTAACAAATGGACAAGATAAAGGCCGATTTTTTAATCATCAGTTAATTTTTAACTGTAGAATAAAATTGACATTAATTATTATTGACAGTTTGAATGATCAAATAAGTTATTTCTCAGCGCCCGCCGCCCAGTTAAAATTTATCTGGCGTTGGTAAAATCGCGCGACATCTCAGTTTCTTAACCAAAATATAACATTGTCAAGTACAGTCACCAGATGGTGCTGATTCTTATCCACCAGAAGATGAGGAAAGTATTACTTAGTACTCTAAATAGAAAAAAAAAACACATATTTTTGTTACAAGTTATTATATTTCTACAAATCATTAGTAAAAAAAGAAGATATAAAAGTAATCATTAGTATTTTTTATATATTTTTATTTTATAATTCTACATTAAATTGTTAATCTATATAATATAGTAGTAAAGTCAATAATCTTAGCTCAATAAATAATCTTAGCTAAAAAGTACGGTTGATTACACTTTTACATATTATATTATACATATATCTATTTTCTTATTATAAGTATCTAAAAAATCTATATTAAATAAAATTATCAATAACATAAGATCTACTTGTTATTAAATATACTTTCCTTTTATTACTATTTAGGCACAAAATTAACATTATAAGGCACATTAATTTATGAGGCAAATTAATATTAAATCTTGTACCATTCACTAAGGACAAAGGTCCGAAACAAGTGTTAAATGCAGTTAACTATAACGACATTGAATTGGTTAGACATAAGAGTTAACACGTTAGTAGCGCCAATTAGTGCTCAAATACTTGGTTTTTCATAAATACCGGAATGAATTTTGTACTTTTCTTGTGTCCTACCTACGACCTTAGATGAAGGTAATAGCACAGTGCACTTAATTGCTGACATATAAAACAATGTTAAAATTGAAACAATTTTATGGAGATTGTGAGATTTTTAGCATGTTTCGTAAAACATTATATTTTAACGTCGGATAGTGTAGTGGTGCGCACGACGCAGTCTACGGCGCAATTCGGCTGGGAACTTCTCGTAACAGCGTCGGCAAGCAGGGCGTTCGTCATATTCGTAGAATTTACTTCGGGTACTCAGTGGTGCATCGCAAACGGAGCAGGCAAAGTGATGTACACACCATGCTTTGTTCAATGCCGTGAAAACTGTTAAAAAATATAAAATTACTTCTGTGGAACTATTTGATGAACAGCTTAAACAACTGGGAATACACTTACCATCGCCAGCAATGACTTGGTTGCACACATAGCACAAATTTCCAAACAGCTGATGGTAATGCTGCTCGCAGTAGGCAAGTCCCTTCTTCTCGTAATGGCGATGACCATGGAATGGCTTCTCACATTTGGCACATACGAAGTGCTACAAACAAGTAATGTTGGTTGTTATTTGGGAAGACAGAATCTATACTCTTTATTACCTTCGAAAAAAAAACGGTGGGCTTCAGATTGCTTTAATGTTACATACCTCAACATGCCAATGCTTTCCAAGAGCAGTGACAATTCTCTCCTCGATAGGACGTCGGCAAGCTCCGCAAATGGGGATACCCATCTTGTCATGGCAACGGAGGCAGAAGAGATTGTTCTGAAGAATAAAACATTAACATTATGCTTTGGCATGATTGGAATTACTCGGAGTCATATCACAGCCCCAAACAAGAATGATGTGAGCCAATGCTTGTGTTGTATGTAACATTTATTTTCCTTATTGAAAACATAATTACCACATCATTGGCAGCATATCCAGGTCGATGTTTGACTTCTCTAGCTGTATGATCCAGTTCTACTCCACATGTGGCACATGTGAAGTGGTAGCCATGATACACCTCGCCACGGTAACGCAGAGGTTCGCCGTCGATCACGCCACTGTGTGTAAAAATTTAAATATTAATGTAACTGTATAACATTATTCTATGAATGATCCACTGTAAAATTGACTTAGCCAGCTAAGAACAGCAGTACATTTTTATTTTCCTGTGTCTTCTAGAAACAGGAAAAATCTAATGAATAATAATGAGGATAAAAGTACATAATATACTTACTGGCACTTATGGCACATGTAATTCAACAACCCATCAGCCTTGATGCGAGCATTGCAAGTATGGCAGAGAGCACGCCCACCATTTTTAATAAAACCTGCATCAGCCAGCTCTACATTACATTCCTCACAACGGAAGCATGCAGGGTGCCAGTTGGCATTCATTGCTTTAATCACACGGCCAATTACGAATTCCCCTGAAAAGCAGTAAAATAGATCAGTAACCAGTTTCATCATCATCATCAACAGCCTATAAATGCCCACTGCTGAGCAAAGCCTCTTCTCACACGGAGAAGGTTAGAGCATTAATCACCACGCTTGCTCAATGCGGGTTGGCGATTTCAAACTTATAATTAGAAATTATAAGTCCAGGTTTCCTCACGATGTTTTTCCTTCACCGTTTGTCAGTGGTGTCTAAATAATCTTAGAAAGTACATATAACTCGGAAAAAGTCACATTGGTACTTGCCGTTGGTAGGTTTCGAACCCGCACCCTCATGCATGAGAAGTGGGCGTCTTAAACCTCCGGGCCACCACAATAACCAGTTTTTTTTTTTTTTTTTTTTTTTTATTTTATTTTATTTATTTGGGAAAATTAACAATTATACACTATAATAATACATTATAACAAATATCAAAGAATAGAATAAATGTATAATCAACGACATTCTCCACAGAATACAAAAAAAAAGTAGTTAAAAGAAGTCGTACAATTTAGGTAGGCACACTACATACATAAATTCACAAACAAAACTGATACAGTCATAAACTATAGTTTACAATGTGTCTAAATTATAAATTTTTACATCGGTAAAAAGGAAGCGATAACATAATTAATCAAATACAACAGTTAATGAATATGCATTGTATGTTTAATGGATATATATAAAAAAAACACCTTAAAAAATGTATCTATGAAATAGTTATTGAGTCCAATCATTACCAGATTCCCGGACAAGGTTTCTGAATTTATTTTTAGACGCTGCGAACAAATCAATGTGGCTAAAATATTTATTGTACTGATCAGCGATGCGACGTAAAGGTGCCCTTAAGCCTGCATTAGTATGACATGAGCCAACGAAGAATACAGGTCTCGAGCGCACCCCACGGCTCACTATTGTTCTGGGCACTACATACCGCATTCGATTGGAAATGTCCATACAGTCATATGCATTGTTACATAAATCATACAAAAACATAGTCTCCAAAATTAATCTCCTAGTCTGAAGACCGGGAAGTTTGTACCTTTTAAGCAAGTCATTATAGCCTGCAGCCACACGAAAACAGCGATGATGAACAGCTTTTAAAAATTTATTTTGTATTCTTTCTATACTATTTGAATATTTAATATAAAAGGGATTCCACACCGGCACCGCATACTCCAACTGAGACCTGACCAAAGACTTATAAAGATATAAGTATGTACTTGGGCGTAAAAACTCCGTTGACGATCTCATCACAAACCCGAACATACGATAGGCGTTGCCGACAATCCTACTTATGTGTGCATCTAGGTGTAGTTTATCATCCAGCAAAACTCCGAGATCACGGACCATGGGCACTCTCAACAAAACAGCATTATTTAGGGAATACGGATATCTAATAATCTTTTTATTCTTTGTGAAACTTATGCAACAGCATTTTGGAATGCTAAGTTTTAGTTTATTTTTATCGCAATATTGACCAAATCTGTCTAAATCTTCTTGTAATAGCTGACAATCCTGTAAGGTTTTTATGGTTTTAAAAATTTTTAGGTCATCTGCGTAAAGGAGTAATTTGGAATATTTAAAACAGTTGTTTATGTCATTAATAAACAATATGAAAAGAAGAGGCCCAAGAATCGATCCCTGAGGTACTCCAGATGTTGCCTCTATCGTAACAGAGTTATAACCATTGATAACAACCCTCTGGGTTCGATTTGAGACGTAAGAAGCAAACCATCTCAGCAAATCGCCGTGCACACCATTGAAGGCGAGCTTAGCCAGAGAAGTTGGTGATCAACCTTGTCAAAAGCTTTTTGAAAATCTGTGTATATTGAATCGACCTGTAAACGCGAGTCCATATTATTAAATAAATAATCTACAAAACCAACCAAATTAGTTGTAGTGGACCTTCTTTTTACAAATCCGTGTTGTTCCTGTATTATTTGATTATGAAAGAAGGGATAAACTTTATCATGGACTAGTCGCTCAAATACCTTTGACAAAGTAGACAGTATCGATATAGGACGATAATTCCTGATATCCTGCTGAGAGCCTGACTTATAAACTGGCGTTATGTTTGCACTCTTCCATAAAGTAGGGAAGACACCTTGAGAGATGGATTGGTTGTATATAATATATAAGGGGATACATAAGTGCTTAGCTGTATTCTTAACAAAAACTACAGAGACGTTATCTGGACCTGGTCCCTTAGATAGATCTAATGATTTTAGTGCCCTTAGTACTTCATTGACATTAAACTCAATGTTACCGAGCAACGACAGCTTTCGGAGCGATCTCTATATGCATTATCATGCATATTATGCAGGGTAGACTCCTCATAAACCGAGTTAAAGAAACTAGAAAAGAGATTGCATATCTCTTCAGGATCGCTAGAGGACCGGTCGTTATAAGTCATATTAGAAGGTATGCTAGTAGTGGATTTACGATTCGATATGTATTTCCAAAAGTGCTTAATGTTCGTCCTAATGCCATCCTCAACAGATTTAATATATTTAGTGTAACAGATCTTACATTCAGTCTGAAATCTCGTCCTATACAACGCAAACTGCTCATAATCTGAAAGATTATTATATTTTTTCCATTTACACCAAGCTTTAGTTTTATTTTTATAAATGTGTATCAGGGCTTTTGAGAACCAAATTGGAAATTTCAGTGACCTGCATTTAATCAGTGGTGTATGTGCTTTAATTAATTGAAAAATGTTGTTATAAAAAATGTTAACATTATCATCCACGGATTTGTCACTACTCAAGATGTCATACCAATTGATTTTGCTTAAATTAAGGTTGATATTGTCATAATCAGCTTTATAGTAATTGTATTTTTTTATTTGTTTACGTATTCTAGAGTTTTGGGGTAACCGAAGAGATGTCAGAACACAAAAAGGGGGATGATGATTATCACACTTTAGTAAATAATCTGAGGGTGAATAGATCGAACATGCCTCATTGCTAATGACCAAGTCCAACAGCCTTCCGTTGCTGTTTTTTATAGTATTGTACTGGTAGGCATTAAGTATAGACATAAAGGTAGCCAGGTGTCCACACATGCTAGAACCTCCACTGCATATCATGCCGAGTGGTGGCGATATATCCACTGCAACCAACCCAGTCAACTCCCGGCAAATTAATCACCCAATAAGTAAAACCGTTCAATACCAGGGCAGTCAAGACAGCGCTGCAACGATTCGAAATAATCAAGATAGAAATATTCTGCTGTATTTGGAGGTATGTAGACAGCACCAAGCACCTGACATTTGCCCCGAGTCGGACTAGGCAGCTGGACGAGGACGTGCTCAATATTGTTTAGTGCAGATAACTTCGAAACAAGTCGAACCGAATGCAACTCCCTCAAAACAGCCACAAGGACACCGCCCCCATCCTTTTTCCCAGTCGCAGAACGATCACGATCACATCTATATGTCGTGTAACGTTCATCAATGAACTCACCATCGCATATCTCCGGTGTCAACCAGGTCTCAGTCAACACTATGATATCATAGCAATTCGCCAAGATATTCATGTAAAGAATGTGCAATTTGGTGCGAATTCCCCTGCAATTTTGGTAATATACAGTTAGTTTATCATTATCCATGTTATTAGTAAATGCTGCACTTAAATATAAATATAAACCGCTCATCATACACTGCAGGTGTTTTGGATTTCTCAATAAAATTCAAACAGTTTAGAACGCAATGCATCAATAAGAACAATTTATTTCTATTTAGTGACTGATAAGTACATTGTTCCGACATTAATAGGTAGGAAATTACAACTTTATGTGATACAAAAATTATTATTAAAAAAACAAAATACCCGACTGCACACTAAATAAAAAAAGAGTAAAACAAGCCCCACAATAATATTGATCAATCAAATGCTAAAAACTAATTATGTAATACCGTTTAAACAATACCTATATTAAAATACACTACAATATGTGTTCGTAATCGATAGTTAAATAAACAGAAACTTATTTTGAATACAAATTTACTGAATATAATTTATAAATGTTGATGAAAAGCATCGCAGGCGGGGACCAACAGAGGCTTATTTATAGTCATTTCGGTTGTGCACCATTTAGCAGAATTTTCGTTGGTGGCGGTCAAGGTGGTCCCCGCCTGCGATGCTTTCCATCAACATTTATAAATTATATTCAGTAAATTTGTATTCAAAATAAGTTTCTGTTTATTTAACTATCGATTACGAACACATATTGTAGTGTATTTTAATATAGGTATTGTTTAAACGGTATTACATAATTAGTTTTTAGCATTTGATTGATCAATATTATTGTGGGGCTTGTTTTACTCTTTTTTTATTTAGTGTGCAGTCGGGTATTTTGTTTTTTTAATAATAATTTTTTTTTTTATAACTTTTTAGCTGTTTTTATTTAACGAAAATGTTGTAGATGTAGAAGACTATCGTCAACGACGTGTGCCCTCATGCGTGTGCCCGCAATCGGGCTGTATACTCGAGCATATCCCCCTCCGCACCGCGCCGCGCGCCGCATGCCAGGCCACGCCCTATCTTTTTTGCTTGCTAACGCATGAGTTGCTTTGCGTTGACGCAGAATTAACATGTTCCCGTGGGAATTTTGAGAAAAAACGTATCCTATATTAATTACTCCCGTGATTGAAATGAATCTAATGATACCGCATACATATTTTTTTAAAGGGAAATTTAGAAAAAATATTATTATGTCTTTATCCCGTGGGACTTTTAGGATAAAATGTATCCTATGACACTCCCGTAATCAAGACAAATCTAACGATACCTCATACATCAAAATCCATCAAGCCGTTTAGGCTACAGGTGGTCACAAAGGAAAAGACATACATACATACTTACATACACTCGAAAAACATTACCCTCCTTCTTTGGCAGTCGGGTAATAAGCTATAACAACTCCATCTCCAACCATACAGTAAACTATCATCAAATAATAATATAAAATATGAATGTGCAGACACAAAAAACAAGCAACAACAATGCATGATGATGTCTCACTAGTACGTGAACCCGCAAGGTAAACCTGACCCATAATCAATAATAATTCAAAACCATCGCTATAAAACAATGTCACAACATAACTACAACACAGTTTTTTATCGCAGCGAGATATTGTAAACATGCGGGCACTAACAATTATAAGCGGCAGACACGTCACAAAAAATTCATAGGTACTTGTACAGCTGATCATTAATAAGTAGCAAAATTGAATAAAAGTTTAGTTTTGTTCACCTTATTTAGGTAGAGATCATAAAACAGAATCTATAATTGAATAAAATACATACCACATTTTCCGCAGCAAGGAGCAAACAGCACTTGGAAGTCTCGTTCACAGTACTTACGTCCTTCAAACTCGTAGAATATGCCTTCGGGAAACACACGGAAGCATTGTGCACACCTGGAATTTCATTTCATGGTTAATGAAACATAGTATATTTTATACATATATTTAATTTTTAGAGATTAAAATATAAAATAACTTACACAAAGCAGTTGGTATGCCAAAGTTCTCCGTTCGAGTTGACAATTTTTTCATTCGGCTCAAAACCATCCCCACATCGGGTACAAAACATATTATCCAGAGACATTGTTGCTAATCTGCAAAAAATGATTTCATTTAAAAGGAAACTATGACTTTTCTCTTCCAAATTTATTATTCCTTTTTATGAATAACTATTCCTATTAAATCAACAAAATACCTTATTGAATCATGTATTTAAAAAAAACAATTTACAAATGAACATCAAAGAAACAATATAATACTTACATAGTGATTTAATTGTTATATTTTGTTAATATTTGGCATTAATGACTATTATTTTCCTGATGTGTAAAACAGGAAATTTTTAATAAAAAATTGTAAGTTGATTAAATATACATTTAATACAAGCTTGTAGTTGCGAATGTCAGATATTTTAGTAAATGATGTGATAAAATGTAATTATAACAACCTCATTAGAAAAAGTACAATTTATTAAATTAATTAATGCATTGGAAGAAGGTTGTGGTGCTTACTACCTACAGTAAATGACTGTCTATTACAAACCTTGAACATTTTTCTATGAAAACTAGCATTATATTATTTAAAGCTTTTTTAGGATCTGGGTCACCGATTATTTACGTGTTTTTCTTTTTGTTTGAGATGATCTGTGCTATGCCTAGTGTTTTTTTAGAAGTGTCTGTGATATAATTATGATATTAAAGCTTAGGTGCCTGTTATGAGCATTCCGTACAAGTCATGTTAACCACTCCCTCCCACGGCTGACTAATATCACAGATGTAGCTTACCCTGGCATTTTCGCTTTCAATTGCTTATTAAATATACTACGTGCTCTTCAACTTAGTTCTGTCAAAAACAATAATTATTTTAATCAATAAACCTAAACATCAGAACACTTCTGAGTAACTGATTTTGTGCAGAATCCATCCGGTTGCTGATACAAATAGAAATGATGTAACTATCTATATAATATGTCCAAAATAGCAGTAGTATGTTTCAAAACAATACTCACATTTTTTGATACACTTAATCAAATTATATCATTGCAGGATTAAAATATTACTTTGATTGAATTCTTTGCATATATATAAAATCATACAAATTATTTACCTCAAGTTTGTCAATGAGTCAAATTCAGGGCCGTCACACTTAGAGCCATTGACAGCTTAAAAAATCGAACCGTCAACTACATCTAGTTTTCGAACCTGAAATTAAATGTTGTCAAAACTAATATTTTCAGTGGCCACACAGTTCCAAGCAAGGTTGCAACATTATTTTAAAATTTAGGCTTAAAATAATATTTTTTGGAAATAGTAAAATAACATTATACACATTTATTTAATACTATATTGCAATTTTTACAAAATAATTCCTTAAACTTAAATCAAATGACAGTTATGCTGGCATAATCGATCAAAGATGACAGCCTCTTTACTAATAATAGAGATTAAAAAGATATTCAGTGATGGATGACAAACTAAACTCTATGAAGTGACTGCGTCAGGTTTCTGCATCCAAAAGCATTAACCTAAGAGCCTGTGAACCTCAGGTCTAGGCCACCGTTTTTATTATATAAAAACTAATATTATATGAAAATACTCAATTTTCATAGAAAATCTATAAAATAGGTTGCACGCATTCTTTCTGTCTCTCTATCACACACACACACACACACATTCACACACATACTTAATCTTTCTCGATAAATGCACTAACTCTATTTCGTTCAGTCATCATCTCTGATTTACAATTTGACAGCACCATCATTTTCACCACCCTCGAGAACCATGAAAACGACACCTATAACGATAAATTGAAAATATCGTGCAGCCGCCATCTTGGATTTGCATTTTGACAGCACCATCTTTGTTACCACCCTCGAAAACCATGAAACGATACCATGACAATAAATTCAAAATTTTGTGCAGACGCCATCTTGGATTTACATTTTGACAACACCATCGACTTTATCACCCTCGAAAACCATGAAAACGACACCCATGACGATAAATTGAAAATTTCGTACAGCCGCCATCTTGGATTTGCATTTTGACAGCACCATCGGCTATATCACCCTCGAAAACCATGAGAACGACACCCATGACGATACATTCAAATTTTGTGCAGACGCCATCTTGGATTTGCATTTTGACAGCACCATCGGCTTTATCACCCTCGAAAACCATGAGAACGACACCCATGACGATACATTCAAAATTTTGTGCAGACGCCATCTTGGATTTACATTTTGACAACACCATCGGTTTTATCACCCTCGAAAACCATGAGAACGACACCCATGACGATATATTCAAAATTTTGTGCAGACGCCATCTTGGATTTACATTTTGACAACACCATCGGTTTTATCACCCTCGAAAACCATGAAAAGGACACCCATGACGATAAATTGAAAAATTTTGTGCGCACGCCATCTTGGATTTACAATTTGACAGGACCATCGGCTTTATCACCCTCGAAAACCATGAAAACGACACCCATGACGATAAATTCAAAATTTTGTGCAGACGTCAGCCCTGTTCATTTCCATTTGCTGATTTACTTTATCCAAGTTTTCGAAGATATTACTCATAATAGCTAGTCATTAATTGATTAATTACTAGTAATTACGAATAATATCAAATTAATCACTTTGGCTGTAACATATGTATATACATTTAGGTCAAACTGATACTCCTTTTTTAAAGTCGGTTAAAAAAGAATCATCAAAATACGTTAAAAAACGACGAAGTCATCCCTGAAGGAACATAAAAAAACCTTATAGGTATATAACTTTTCCTTTTTTTAAGTCCGTTATAAATAACAAAGGTCTGGGGTTCATAGGCTCTTGTACTATATTATGGATTGTCAAATTATTATTTTTTACGGCAACGCTGGGGCTAAAAAAATATTAAAACATTACAATAATAATTTTCCAAATTATTTAGATAATAAATAACTATTAGAATAATATTGTTAATAATTAGATATTGATATTAAATACTTTTTTATATTATCTCCTTATTTCTATAAAATAGTATGCATGTAGTTTGTACTATTTTAATACTGGCATATAATATGTATACTTTTTGCTTGATAAAGAAAAGAAACAAAAACAAAAATTTGAAATGTCAAAATTGTAAAAATTTTTGCCAAAAATATTTTAAATTATTTAATAATTTGTGATGGGATTTTGTGATTGTTTTTCTAAAAAAGGAAGTTCTGCGATGCGTGTTGTGTTTTCTATAAAGGACCTTTTGTATACATGTGTATCACAAATCACAAAAGTACATTGTGTTTGTTTGTCTATTCATTGGACTTGATTTTACAAAGGAACGCTTTAATTTGCGTATATATCTTATTTATAATAAAGAACATCAATACGAAGAATACAATCATGTTGCTGAAGGTAAAACCTACAACAAGTTTATGATTTTTGCTATTGAACCTATTTATACATTTTATTTGATTCATTGAGATACCAAACTATGTAGTTTTTATAAATTTCTACTTTTTCTTTTGTATATTTGTTACAGTGATATTTGGAATTGCTATTGCATCGATATTACTTCAGCATCATCATTGCAGAATATCAATAGTGCAATTTTTTATCGGCAGTTACGAGTCTTACGATGTCCGGATAAAGTGCCGATCTATACCAGCAGTGCTTGAAACCTATTTTAGAGATGGTAAATACTATATTATTCTTGTAACATCAGTAATATCACGTAAGGTACACCTACCTTAGATAAATAAAAGAAAACAAATAAATAAAATACATATTTCTGCATGTAAAAATAATCTTTGTTTTTTTTTCAGGTACTATTTGGAATTATTCTAACATTCAGACGTATGTTGTCTCAAGAAACAAGAAACCCATAGATCGCTGCAAATATTAAAGCCGTATTATTTTTGTAAAACTATTTTTATCTTTGTATTAATGTATATATCATAATTAGAACAACATTTTAAGTACCTACGCACAACAAAGTAATATTAAATTATAAATAAACTAAAATAGGTACATATTCACACCTTAAAAAAAATGTTACCTTAGGGCATCAAAAAATTCTTTTTCATCGCTATCGTGGAGTAGGGTGCCCAAAAGACTGCAGCATTATTCTAGGTTTTACTTATTTGTATTCATATATGTAGAGGTCTCTCCTTCTTGGGCTTGACCTGGTGAAAATGGGCACCGCTTCCCGCAACCCGCAGGAAAAACGATGCTCATAGCCCCTTCTAAATTTGACTTATAAATCTCCTTCTTTCTCTTCTGCTGACTACTTGACTACTAACTGGGTGTAGTTTGTGTGCCAGATGTGGATTGTGAGCTTCATGTGATGGTTGACTGAGTGGTATGTGGTGTTTGCGCTTGAGATGGTTGTAATTGATCGGAATCTGGAATGTATGTGACGAAAACTGTGTCTCCTAGTACTTTGCTAAGAATGATTATTGTGAATGGTGGCTAATGTCTATTTATGTTTCTAGTTTGTCTGTGTATCTGCTGAGGCTTTTGGCTAGTACCTACTCCTGTGGCTCCAATTACTATAGAATTAACATGCGTTTCAATATTTCAAGGCGTCTAGCCTTGAGTTGTGTCTTTAAAAAGTGGTATTTACTGAACATGGTACAGTTATGTCAAAGAGGTATGTGGTGTTGGATGTTTTGTTTGTGTATATTATGTCCGGTCTGTTGTGGGCAACTGTGAAGTCTGTCTGAATTGGGATTTCCCACATTATTTTGCCTGTTTCATTTTCATTTGTATTTATATAATAATATTACTTTGTTTCATTATAATGTTATAAAAATATTATATTTGAGGATAGGAAAAATCTGTAGTTGTTTAGTAAAAATGACTGTAATATAACTAGATATAGGAAACGACTAAGTCAGGCATTATTAGCAACTAGCAAAAAAAAAGTACTAAAAAACTGAGACTGACTGAGAGGCAGACTGAGACTTATTTTTAAGCACTATATTTTTCGACATTATAATAATAAGTGCGACTGCCGGGCAAGGGGTCTCGGGTTCGATACCCGGGTCGGGCAAAGTATTATTGGGTTTTAAAAAATCTCAGTAGTAGTAGAGTAGTCTGGAAATGTGCCCGGTATATGGCAATAGGCTCACCCCCTATTACATGGGACTTATAACATAAATAGTGAAAAGTGGGTGTTACATTGTACAGTGGCATTGAGTGCCGAAATGTGCACCTCTGCCTACCCCTTCGGGGATAAAAAGGCGTGATGTTATGTATGTTATGTTATGTAAATTGTATAATAATTTTGTGTTTTTGTAAATACTGTAAGCGATTCAAATCGATGGTAAAATGTACTACATTTGTGTAGGTATTACGGTTAATTTATATCATTAGATTGTTAACTACTGTTAGGTACTGTGTAAACAACGGTGAACAGTAAATATTTTTAATTTTAGTTCTTTGTGGGATCAATAATTAAAAAAATAACTAATTCAAATAAATTTTGAACGACATATTTATATCTGAAATTTGTAAACATAAAATTAAAAAGAACTAAAATTTGAATTATACTTTGAACAAATCTGTCGTCTGATATTTCCCTACTAGCTGATAATTTTTAAATGTTAATTTGTATTTACTGTAAAATAAATGTAATATTGTAATTAATAACTTCTTTGATTTTGCAGCTACCAGACATAGCTAATTCCAATACTACCTTCAATGTACCAACCTGCAAGGTGCATTGTTGGTAGTATTGGCATTAGCTATACTTAGGATTATCTGTAGACATTAGTAAAAAAAAAATATACTTGGATTCAATTTTCAGATGGCGTTTCAAATTGATTGGCATAAATTTTGACGAGTGGCAACTCTTTACCCCTATACTTATTATACTCTTTGGTCAAATTGGTCAGTCAATTTTATTTAGTACAACTCAAGGCAGTCCATAAACTATAGAATATCTCTGTGACATATTATGACATAACACGTATGTCAAACTGACATTTATAGGGTTGTCAAGATGCCATCCTGGCCATCCAACGTGGAAAAGAGAAACCTAAAATAAGGTTTTTTTTAGTTCCATGGTGGCAATGTTCCTAGTTTTTGGGCACCCTTCTTCAGGACTAATTACTGAGATTAGGATATTTCGATTTTTTTTTGTGGCATAAGCCAGTACACGAGCAGACGGATCACCTGATGTTAAGCAATTGGCGTCGCCCAAGGATACCTGGAACACCAAAGGCATTACAAGTGCGTTACTGGCCTTTTGGGATTAAAAGTTTGAGGATCGTTGGGGATTCAGAAATTAGGGAGGTTGGGGAAGGGAGGGTAATTGGGCCTCCGGTAACCTCACTCACGCGATGAAACATAACCCAAGCGTTGCTTCACGTCGGTTTTCTGTGAGGCCGTGGTATTACTCTGGTCGAGCCGGCCCATTCGTGCCGAAGCATGGCTCTCCCACACATAAAATCGATGTCATAACCATGTTATTATTAATTAGTCCATGGTCATAAGTTAGTTTCTTTTCTTTTCATAGATTTAATAGGTACTAATTTAAGTTGCAGTTGTACGTATTTTAGCCATATAGTTTTTATTACGTTTATATATTTAACAGGCATTTTGTAGGTATATATAAAGTTAAAATTTAAGAAATATTGGATGTTTATCAATTTTTTGATAAATTCTCAAGTATAAACGGTTAATTTGTATTTACTCGGTATATATTTAATTTGAGTATCTATCCGGAAAATCACCTAGATAATTGGCAATATTATCAAATGTCAGTGTCAGCTTTAATCAAATGCCAAATTCCCAAAAGTGCGGCAAATAGTCGTATGTCGTATCGCTGCTTTGATTTTGATATTTTATTTTCGAGAATAACGCACATCCTGGTGAAAATGGGTGTTAATAAAACAAACATAAATACAGTGAGAGAACTAATTTTAGACGAGCATAAATTGGTGACTTATATTTCACTTAGCAAAGAGCTGTGTATTCATGTGAATGAAGCTAAAACATTACTGCGAGAAGCAATACAGGATATCAGAAAAAAAAATCCAGAAATTGACCTCAGTATTTCATATGTGATAGCGGGGTTGCTAATAATAACAATGGATGTGTTACTGTATGCCCAGAACCTGATTTGGACAGCATAAGAAAATCTTTGAATATCATCTTTTACGAGCATGTGTATTGTGTTAGCAGAGGTCTTCAACCAGCAGAAAATGTTGCATTAAGTGCAATAAGCAAATTTGAAGACCTCTCCCTATGCACGGGGTTGATAAAAGCTAACTCTTGTTCTAAAAGGACTGATGACGAAATTGGTAGTTTAAAATCCATCAATCAAGCTGTTTTGAATGCACCAAAATCATCAAATGTACAACAGTTATCTAAAGACAAAGTAAATAAAGAGTAAGAAGTACAGTAGAAGTTAAGGTAGAACCTGAAGTAAAATCTGAAAAAACTTCACCAAAGAAGAATTCACCAACTAAGAAAACTCTAGCTAAACTTAACGGAAACAAAAGTGGTCCAGCAGGTATTGCAGGATTTTTCAATAAAGTTAATGGTGATTCATCCAAAAATAAGAAAGCTAAAGTTTCAGAACCAGAGATTAAAAAAGAAAAAGAAGACAAAGTGAGCCAGTTAAAAAAGACACTGATGTGCCATCCAATACTATAGCTAATGGTTCAGCAGAAAGTATCAAAACCAAATCAAATAATAAAAATAACATTTCAATAAAGAAGAATGCCAAAGTTGATAAGAAACGCAAAAGACTATTACATGTTTCTGACAGTGAAAGTGACAATGAAGGAGATGATCCATTTGCTAAAGAAATGGATGTTGATCATGAGTCGGAGGATGAAATACCACCTACACCAACTATAAATACTGTCAAAATAACATCAGGAATCATAAATCCCAAAAAACGGAGGAAGATTGTCGATAAAACCTACACTGATGAAGATGGTTATATTCTTACCAAAAAAGAAGAAGTTTATGAGAGTTGCTCTGAAAATGAGGAAGAAGAAATAAAAGAGAATCAAAAAATTGAGAAAAATAATACTTCGCCAGTAAAAACAACAAACACTGGACAAGTGAAACCAGTTAAAAATGAGTCTACTATAAAAAAAGAAACAAAAAGTAAGAAGAAATTGTCACCACCAAAAAAAGGCAAACAAGCTACAATAAACAGTTTTTTCAAAAAGGTCTGAAAGACCTCAAAGTAATCATGCTTGGTTATAAATGAAAGTGCCTAATTGTGTTTTATTTGTTTCACCAATAATGTATGTGATGTTATGTTCAATAAAATTATGTTTAATATTAAAAGTCAACAACTTGAAGTTATTATTTATTTATCAAAAATTAAAACAGTATGAGATTGTAGATATTAGTATTATCTTTTAGTTCCAATGGCCACAACCCAATCTGGATGTACTTGCACATCAACTAAGTAGGAACATTTTGTGTTGTAGGTGGAGGACTGCACATCTAGTCCTGATGCTTGTCTGCAAAATAAAAAGCATTAAATGAGACTTAGGTAGGTATGTCTAAAGTGCATATAATCCAGTACAAATGAAACATACTTATTCTTAGAATTACAATCTGACATAATTTTGACAATTCCATCCATGCCAGCAGAACATAGTAAAGAATTGTCAACTAATGGGTCACTTGGATCTGGGAGGACCCTGTTTGTCAAGCTTGCTTTCCCAATAGCTGACCAGTCCAATGCAGTGACTTTTCCATGGTGCCCTCTATACTCATGAATACAGGTACATGCGGCTAAGTCCCAAACTTTAATTTTCTTGTCATCACCTGGAGAAAATAAATTATTCAGAATGTTAATTAGATAATGTTTTATGTAAAAAATTGCGAACTACTAACATACTGAGAAAAGCTCTACTACTAAAGTCAGAATTTTAATTAGATTCCAGATTTGACAATAGCTACTGTCATTTTGTGAAATAATGATACCACATATAGTGTAGAAACTCGATAAACAATCAGTGTGTGTGTTTTATAATAAATGTTACAGAAAGTGACAGGATAGCGATAGCGATGACGGCGACAATTTATAAAATAACTTATTACCATAATACATCTATCTGTTTTATTTGTCATGTTCCTTCATGATTACATTTTTTTTATTTATTTCACACACAATTATATAAAAAAAGTCTCAGATCGTTAATTAATCGTCAAAACTAAATTATCGGTTCAGTAATATTTAATTTCCTGATATACTTAGTTTACGAGAGTAAAATTATAAACGAGAAGAATCGATCCAGAAATATTGCATTTCCATATCGAATAATGTCGCAACGTCACTATTTAATACTTGTCATAACGTTGCAACACTGAAATTGTCAAATCTGGAATCGAATTAAAATTCCGAGTACCTATTATAGTAGGCTGCGCGATGTCACCACGACTACGCACGCTGCTCATAAGAAAGAGTCCCTCTGTGACTCGAAACTAGTAGAGCTTTTCTTCGTATAATTTTAAGTAACGCGTTATTTTTAGGTCGGTAATTCAGTTTGTCTTAAGATAGGTATAAAAACAATGTTTTATGTTGTTAGCAAGGCAATAATTTGTCATGTTATTATACTATAAAATGTAATTACCGGCACTAGCTAAATGAGCTCCCGAAGGTGAGAAAGCGAGTGTTCGGACTGGACCACGGTGACCACATAAGATTCGTACTAGACGAGCATCAGACACCATCCATAATCGCACAGTACGATCAGCACCTCCTGTGGCTATATATGCTTCATTTGGGTGGAATTTAACACACTAAAAAATTAATCAATAGATTAATACCTGATTAAATCGAATGCTATTCTACTGGTAAACAAATTCAACACTTACAGTGACATCAGACATATGGCCAACAAATATCCTTATTGGAAAAGTCCTTTCAAGAGACCATAATTTAGCAGTCCTATCATGAGATCCTGTGACAAATAGGCCACTTTTAGAAACATCCATGCACCATATTGGATAATTGTGACCTCTGAAAAAGATAATAGATATTGTATGTTTAGACCTTAAAATAAGCTGAAATTTGCAATAGCTGTTGACTCATTGCAAAAAGCAGAAATATATAATATATTATTTTTATCTAAGATCTGTCTGGCAAGTCGAAACGTGTTTATGATAGTACTAGCGACCCGCCCCGGCTTAGCACGGGGTCAATATTAATGTATTATCCATATTAACCTTCCTTAAGAATCACTCTATCTATTAAAAAAACTGCATCAAAATCCGTTGCATAGTCTTAAATATCTAAGCATACATAGGGACAGACAGACGGCGGATAGCGACTTTGTTTTATACTATGTAGTGATTTATTATACCTGTAAATTGCTGCACAGGAATAATCAGTGAGTCTCCAACTTCGTATAGTATTGTCATGTGAAGCTGATACAACTAAGTCTTCCTGTGGCAGCACTGTAACAGCATGCACTGGTCCCGAATGTCCTCTCAATGGTACTCCAACACCAATTTGTCTGAATATGAAACAATATTAAAAAAATCTATAATTGGTTGAAGCTTGAACTACAACTGGGTAATTGGCAGGGTGTAATGTGTGAATACCTATGTAAGTGACACACAAACAAAAATAATGCACAAGAAATGATAAGAAAGTACTTCAAAATGCTTACAATGTATTGGAGTCAGGAACCAGTTCATGTGGCACATTACAAGCTAACTCTACTTCAGAAATATTTCGATTGACTCGTCTGTTGATATTGTTTTGTCCAAGGTCCCACAACCTTATCTCTGAATTAGTAAAGCCTCCACATAGTATATTGCAGTATTGGTCTGTTTTGGCACATATCAAACTGTAAAAAATTCATAAATATTTGAGACATTACTATTTAAATGAAAATATTTTTTATCAATATCAATTTATACTTACTTTGTATCAGGAGCAGCAATTTTGTACAATTTTAGGGGAGCTGTGGATTCTCTGACCCCTTTAATTGCTTCTTGAAGTTCCATTAACTCCTTGTCTATACTTAGATATTCTGCATGACCATTGCATTCAGAAAATAAATCTAAAAAGTAAACAGTGCCTTTAGCCAAATGCCCCTTTAGCGCTTGTCTACCGATAGAGTAGGAAACTAAATGTTGATATGGGGATGACACTGACAAGTATTGTTAAAATTTAAAAATGTTAATCCCATATAATTTAATTTTCTACTCTACAAGTAGACAAGCTTTAAATGGCATTTGGATACAGCTGCAGGTAATTTAGTAGTGTACATAATTAAATCATAATAAGTTTTAAAAAATATTTCAAAAATAGATAACCTCACCATTGGTGTCCATATTCTTTTCATCTGAATTGTTATTTCTCATAATATTGATTTCTTCATCCATCTCTTCTTCATCATCCTCCTATAAATATAAATAAAAATGTTCACTGATTTATTTCATTATATCTAAATCTTAATAAAAGAACAAACATGTAATACACATTAATCATCCCAAAAGGAATATGATTATACCCAGAAGGTATGATTACCCATTTTATGAATTGATTGATTTTGTGAAAACAGTCAAAAGACTAGCACAGGGTGCAGGGTGTATTTTTTTGATGGATTACACATAACTCGATACATTGTATTTTAAAAATTACTATACAACAAATTTTTTTTATTTTTCAAATAACTGGTGGAACCTTGCGGATCACCTGGTGGTATTTGATTGCGACTTCAGAAACACCTGTAGGTAAAGATATAATACTCACTGCACTCTTTTTATTAGGATCGTTGTTGATATCAATATGAAACCATGTCTGTAAAACTTGTATTAGGAGCACATGGCCATGTTTGGCTAAATATGCTTTCAACATATTAAAGGCATCTTGAGAAAGACTGATGTCATATTTACATGATCTGAAAAATAAAATAAGATTTAATTAGTCTTACTTGCAGTATCAACCTCTTGTCAGTATGAAGTAATAGATCAAAACAAACAACATTATACCTGAAAGCAGCAATAGAAGGTCTTGTTTCAACTTCTTGGAGTGTATAAATTGATCCAATGTCATCTAGTATTTGATTCATATAATCTTTTTCTGGAGTCTCATTGTCAATAGTACCATTTTGTAAGGAATTAAATAGCTGTTCCAAGCTATTAGGTCTGTACAATGCTGATGGCAGATTCCCATCAATAGGTTGGTGGTAAGATAGATCCTTTTGCGGTAATGTGGCAGAATGTCTCTTTAAAAACATTTGTGCAGGACCTCCATGACCTCCTCTGAGCATTTCAAGGTATAAATGACAAAGTAATGGACATAATAAACCTAGTAACTCATTTTTTACCTTTTCTTGCTTTATTTCTTTAATGAAATTGACCAATCTAGAAATACAAAACAAAAATTATAATACCAGTGACATACACATTCATGCACCTAGTAAAACTACTGATATTGATATACCTAGTATATTGCGAGTCGTATTGCCCGGAATCATTGTTGATGCAAGAAAATAAGATAGAATTGGCGCGACTTGATTCACACTGAACTATAGTTGCCACAGCCATTTGTTCAGCACTTCTGCTTAGATTATTATTATTGCTAAACACGTCTATGTCCTAAAATATAAACATTATTGTAAAAGCAGTTATTCACACATAGGACATATTTCTGAAGCTTTAGCACTTACGGGATAATTCCGACGTTCTAAGTAGGAAGTGACCGCAGCTTTAATAGCATCATTTCTAGTTTTTTTCATTAAAGACATCAGTTTATAAATAATCAATTTGAACAAATAACGAAACCAAAATAACAAATTCCTTCTTTTTTGATAATAACATTCACAAACTATCAAAATTGCGCCCGCAACCAAGCAAGTTCACTAATCAACAAAGACAACCAACACTAAAATGACAAATATGACAACAGACACAGTCAAATTTGACTTTTGGTTGTCACTTTGTGAGCTACTCATAGACAATCAATGTTGCCAGCTCTTAGTGTGTACAATCTCAAAAACGATTAGTTTTTTTTTGTTGTATTGGTTAAAACTTTAATGGAGTAATAGGATTTCTGTTAATTTACATCTAATTAAATATAACTACATAAATATGTACAACTTAAAATTAACTACAACTAAACTATTAAATAAAAAGAAAGTAAAAGAAAACAACAAAAATTATACCCTTAATTTAGGCGTCAAAGTATTCGTCCGCATCACTATCACAGGGGAAAGTTCCCAGAAGACTGGCAGCATTGCCACGTTGAATGGCAATGCTTATTTTCTGTCCGAAGAAAAAGCCAGCCCTCTAGTCACGTGTAGAGTCGATAAGCCTACGGGCGATGTCTTTAAACACAGAGTGTGCACTGGGACCCCATGGCCCAAGTGTTTCGACCCCAAACGGCTCAAAACAGTAGTTACCCACTAGATTTGAATATTTACGCCGTTTGAGGGCCTCTGCCGCGGAAGCAGCTGCACCAACGCATGCAGCGGTGCTTAAAAGATGTGATGGCGCAAGGGTGTCTACACACGTCGCGTCCCACACCAAAGGCCTACCCATCTTCCAAGGCAGCAACGACATACCATCTGGTCTTTTGCCGTCATCACGTACCAAACCATTAGGTTCTAATACGGCTGGTACACCGGCTGAGGCAAGAGCACGACGAATGATGTCGTTGATGCTGGCATGGCGAGCTATGCGGCCTGCACTTCTGCAACAAGAAAGACCATGGTGTCCCAAGCCATCGACTCTTTCTCCACAGTGACAATAATGCGGAGAAACACAAGGAGCACCTAAACGTAGGCATACAGCTAGGCGGAACGTTATGTCATCCAACATAGTACCTATGAAGGGTGACGGGAGTGCCTGAAGCCACAATCCTGATTCCCATTCTCCCACAGCCAATAAGCGAGCTCGCTCTGCAGTATTAGGAGACGAGTTGATTAAAGACTCACGAATAACACTGCACAGCGGCACGTCCCACTGTCTCTGAGAAGATGGGTGAACAGGTAAATCCGTAAGTGGGCAAGCCATTTTCCACGCTTCCACTGCATCAGTCAAACACGGCACCTCAAAACTGGTCAGTGACGAAGAAAGAATTTTCCTGACCAATTCAGAGGTACTGTGGACCGAAGACAGAAAAGCTGGTAAACTAATACTTGAAATTTTGCGGACGCCGAGCCCTCCCATGCGAATAGGAAGAGTAGCTTGTTGCCAAGCTCGGTCATCCAAAGCCACATTAAGTATGGATGACAATGTGTGTCTGATAATTTTGTCTACGTTTTCTAAAATGTGTGAATGTTTCCATAGATGTGAAGCGCGGAGAATATAAGTAAATTTTGGTCCAAAACAACAGTACCGAATTAGGGTGAAAGCCGAATGTGTGTTGATTTTGTGTAATCTATCCGAAATGTGATTGAAATTTTGTATCTTGTCCTCGATGAATTTAGGAAAACATTCATCGAATATTGGTGAACCTAGGAGGTGAAGTGATTTCGTGTAGGACCGTTTTGAGAGCACGCGCGGCGGATCGATCGACACGAACACTCGTTGCCTCTCGCGCGCTCCTGCGTCGACTCACTGAAGTAACGGTCGTTCCGTCGTTCGGCACCGCGCCGCCGAATGTCATGGCGCGTTTTCTATATACTTCTGTCCCGCTCTTACGCCTCCAGTGCGTAGTCTCGGAAACGAGCGGGAATGCAGGCGTGGCGGCGTCCGGAAGCCCGTGGGCCAATTCGGCTTGCGACAGTGAGTACTTATCAATAATTTTGATATTTGGAGCTATTTGATTAAATTTTGCTAGAGTCGAAAAGTTCAAAACGATTAGTTATGAAAGATTCTAACTGGCGCCTCTAATGTCAAAATTGTGAAGCTGAACGACACTGACAGTTTTCGTATATAATTTACGTCACAGATAATAAAATAAAAACTGCCTTTAAAAAACCGACTTCAAAAAACCAAAAAATAATAATAAAGAAAAAGACAAAACTAAAAATAAAAAATAACTATCATTAGTACTGATAGGTTACCCACCCACTATTAGGTTATAATTATAAGTCCGTGCCATAAGTTCTATACAAAATTATTCATTAAGACCCTAATAGATAACTAATTTACTATATTTTGTAGCCATTAAGTTATATCATTATGATATGAGCTTTTGGCACCGACTTTTAACTTATCAGTGGGTAACCTATCAGTAAAGTCAAAGTCAAAGCCAAAGCCAAAGCATTTATTTCAATTAAACCATAATTTGGTACTTTTGAAATGTCAACAAATACAAAATAAATAATAGTCTGTCAGTCAGTCCGTCAGTGAAACTAGGTGAAGCTAGGTCATTCCAAAATGTAGATTCGAATGAAGAAGAACGAGCAAGAAACTCCATTCGTTACTCTTTATAAAAAAGTATGTTCTATAATGTCTCTGATACATATTCCAATACTCTACGTATAATGAGAACAATCCAAAGACACTTTTGACGTATTATACTAATAATACTAATTACAAAACTTAATAAAATAAAAAACTAAAAATCTTATAGTCTATCATGGTGCTCACATATGCATACTGACAATCCATAAAATAGTGCTTCTATACACGACAAATACGAACGACACGACAGATACAACAAATACGACCGAAACGACCGATACGACAAACACGACCTTCACGACAAATGCGACCAACACGACAAATACGACCGAGACGACAAACACGACTGACACGACAAATACGACCGACACGACAAATGCGATGACACGACCGATACGAACAATACGACAAACACGACTGACATGACAAATACGACCGACACGACAAATACGACTGATACGACAAATACGACTGATATGACAAACACGACTGACACGACAAATACGACCGACACGACAAATAAGACTGATACGACAAACACGACCGACACGACACATACGACAAATGCGACCACCACGACAAATACGACTGACACGACCTATACGACAAACACGACCGACACGACAAATACGCCCCTCAACTATCGTACTCTTTCATCATCAGACCCTTATTGACAATTACACCCCACTTAGGTGTAAAGTTCTCATAAATACAAATGAATCAAACCCAAATACAAGGTAGCTACTGTTAACCGTTGAGCTGATATTTCCTCTTTCTACACGGGAAGAAAATTTGATTCATAATTTTGTCTTTTGGAAATAAATGAAAACTTATTCCCGAACTTATTTTGTGTTTCTGCTTTTATTAAAAACAGGTTTCTGTATGTAATCGTTATCCATTTGATTATGTTTAAACTTATTAACTTCAACTCGAAAGCAAAGTGTCGTTCTTAGACAACTTATAATTTTTCATAAATTTAGAGGCACGTGGACAATCTTTGCATCGTCAATAGACTGTCTATTTAATATTAATTTTAATATTCCATGAAAGTTCGTTGTATGTCATCTGCTGTGATCGAGTTTGTTTTGCGAATCGTTTTTTGTTAAAAAGGTACTAGAATACTAGATTGGAATTTAAGTGAATAAAACTTGCTATATGAACGACCTGTGGCGCCCCCATGGATTTTCATGATTAAATAGACAAACTGTACAATTGTACCAAAAAACTAAAACTTTTATTGTATATATTGAACTTGCTTTTTTCTTCTGTACTAATACTAAAAATGTAAAAGTATGTATATTTGCACACTTAAACTTTCGAGACATACAAAGACATACATACTTTTCTCGCAAAACTGTTTGATGAGGAACTCGACTAGTTCTCTACTCCCTTTATGTGTTATTAATTATTATGCCATGCATCAATGCACGGAGTCGGGATTGGTTGGGTATGGAAAGTGACTACCTAGGAACTCATAGCCGGTGCAAAGTAGGTAGGTGTTTCTAGACGTGCAAATACATGTTAGGTTGTTGAAATCAGAACAGCAACAATAATTTTGCAAGATTTATTTAGTTCAAATCAAAGTTTATAATCAGTACCTACACTAACTTAACAAATAACAAGTAAAAAAAGTAAATATTGTGAAACATCAAGTTTCAAATGTTGAAATTAAATTCGATCAAGTATAACCGCAATGGCGCCAACGTAAAAAATCAAATTACATTAGAAAAGGCTCACTTCGTGTGCGATCTCTTATTAATTTTTTACATCGCTTGTAAAACAACTAATATGTGCGATATGTTCGTCTTAAAATGATATAGTGGTAGTTTAAAAGATAAAACAAATAACAATCGAATTGTCTTAGTCTCGATACTTATGTACATGATGAGTAAGTTATTTCGCAAGAAAAGTTGGTTATAAAGCATATTAGCTGCCATGTAGGCAGTTAATGGTTTTTATTTAAATATTTAATCGCGTGGCGACGAAAAAGTAAGTTAAAATTTAAATTGTTTTAAAATTCTAGTTTTTGGTTTTTATGACGCCCACTGTCTAGTTATTACAGTTGATCGAACGAAAATAAAAAAAAACAATAGTCATACCAAGGATGTTAAAAAAAGACGGACATATGCCCGAATACTGAAACGCTACTCAATTTTAAGTCGCGTGTAAAATGACAGAAATGGCACGATATTTAAGTATGATTTAAAATTGTAGTATTTCAGTATTCGGGCGATAGTCTCTTGAAATTACGACTGTGGCACCTGGCCACTATAAGACTTACACACAGAATACACACATATTGACACGAAGGACATCTGTGGAGTATCATGACCCGTCATTACACTTCATACAAATAATGTAATAATGTTTTATGTGTGTGTGTGTGTAAGTACACGCATAATACACCACTGAAATTTTGGTGCTTCAATCATTTTAACTGACATTACGTCCGCCTTTTTTCAACGTCCTTGAGAAACTATGTAAAATCAATCACATTTTATGAATATATTATTTTCTATAAGTTTTTTGTATACTAAATCACTATTTTCATGTCTTAGCTCTACTAATGGTACTGGACCTTCATAACCCATAATATTCACGTGGAAAGGTCCTTTATCCAAGAAAACCTGAGCGTAATTTTCTGTAATAACACTGATGTCTGTATCGGCGTTTAAGCGCACGCCAAACAATCTAGCAGATATAGTTGCAGGAGGAAGTTTGGCCAATTCTTCACAAATCTCTCTTGTATCAGTTAAAGAAATGATTTCAATGTTACCATAATCAACATATCTTACTTTAACACGATTTTTTTTTTCACAATGTTGTAAAATAACGGCGCGGTACCACCGACCATCTTCTGGGAATACTGCAATACATGCTTTATTCTCAAATACTCCATCCAGGGATGGCATATTCATACTTTCAGTCTGGATCTCTTCAAACATCTGTTCATAAAGCCTAGATGTATCTTCATCCCAAACAATATTAAGTTCTAATGTATTAACATCATTAATTACAGCAATATTACACATGTATTCATTATCAGAATGTTTTGGGAATGTAATAAACTTTCCATCAGTTGCAGATTCTTCATCTTCCATTAATTTGTTCCAGTCAGCAGCTTTAATAAGCTTACATCAAAAGAATTTTGACATGAAGATAACTGATCAGTATCTGGATCATCAACTACATAATCTGGTCCAGAATCATATTGTGTTGTATCTTCTTGGATTATTTTTTTGTTCTTTTCAACTGGACAATATTTCATGACAGGGGCTTTTGTACCATCTTTGTATTTAGCCAATTCAAAATCTACTAAGTGATCATTGATCCATAATTTGTCATACTTTAGCTCTATTGGTATTACTCCGTTTACTGCATCACCTACCACTTTTACAAAACATTTTTTTTCAACAATTGATTTGTGAATGTAGTCTAGTGTTTGTCTGTCCCATTGTTTTCCTACTGGACATATACGATTTAACACACACTTGTGTGCTTGTGTCGGAATTTGGTGGAGCGGAACACTTTTTCTTAAATTTTCAAAGGAGCATGACTCTTCATTACCGTAATCTATGTAATGAATGACACACATGGAAGTTTCTTTGTTTACTTCAATCACTCGTCCTCTATAATAGCGGTTATCTAAAAAGAATAACGCTACGCATGGTTCCCCCACACTCCATTTTGTAAACTTTGCTTTTGGGTCAGGGTCTTTAAAACGGACATCTAGTGCTTTACGAATAAGATCCAATGTATCCTGTTGACTTATATCATGTAAGTAAATAATACCATCATTGTCTATGTATCTGAAACAAGAAAAAAATATAAAGATTAAGTACCAAAATATTGTATTGTCACTATTTTGTTATACTCTGTTGTTTTTTTTGTTCTTGTTGTTACTCTTTTTAGTTTATCACAATTGTTTTGTGTTATTTATAGTATATTTGACTTTGGCATGAATTCTATAAATTCAGTATTCAAGTTTTTTGTTATTGTTTAGACACAGTTATTGTACTAAACGCAAATATAAGTTTGTCGAATGTTAGGTTGCCTCATGGCCTGCCTCACTAAACGCCGTGTGAAACAACGCTTGAGTTTTGTTTTGCCCTGAGAGTAAGGTTACCGGAAGCCCAATTCGCTGGCTTAACCCAAAAGGCCGGCAACGCACTTGTAACTCTTATGGTGTTTCTGGTGTCCATGGGCGGCGCCGATCGTTTACCATTAGGCGATACTTGCTTGTTTGCCAGCCTACCCCGCATAAAAAAGTTGCATATTTAATCTTGACATATATGACACACATTGTTCGATACTTACGTCGGTAACGCAGTAAATTCCCTGCAGTTGAGTGGTTCTGGTGGCAACCAGTCAGTAACGTACATCACATTGGAAGGACTGGGATTTTCTTTAGCAACATAATAGTCATCTTCATTTTCTTCGGAAGGCGAGGGTGAATTTGTTTTGGAACCACTATCAACTTTTTCTTTTTCGAATGGAATCATAGGCAAAGGTTCTAATAATAGCCACTCATTCACGGAACCAGTGATATTGAGGAACGACAGCATATCTTGCGAATCTTCGGCATTGTTATCAGTTGGAACCTGGATAAAAAAAACTTTATCAAAAGACATACATGTTGATCAACATTAACCGAAGAGAGTCTATTGTATAAGACCCCAAATACATGGAATTATTGCAAATATTTTTATTGCTATTAGGTACTTATAATTATACTAATTAATTAAGTAGTCCCCTAAGTCTTGATAAAGCATTAAAATTAAATTATTTTTCACTTTATTGGTTTTCATACTTGATTAATATATTTCTAAATATTTGATTATATAAAAACATATTTGTTATTACTTACGGCCTGAGATTGGTCAGGTACGCAGAGACCCTGCTCAAGTATTTTTTCATTCAAACAACGCCATGTAGATTTATTGGGTTCTAAGGCGCCTCCTTGCTCAGTATGATAAACCCACAGTTGAATTGGCATACTTTTATCTTTGAATGTGCCCATTTTTGTCACAAATATCCTCTTGTATCCATCAAGAAGTTCTTTTAAATACTCCTTTGTAATCAGTGGCCACTCGTCACCCACCGCAGGCATGATTCCAGATAAATGACACTTTATAGCAGCATCACCAATTTTAGAAAATTCTTGAGGCAGTTCTTTTAATCTGGATATTGGAACTGTTTCAACACAGGCAAAATCACTGTAGAATAACTTTGCATTATCATCTTTCAGTTCCATAATAATAGTTCTGCGCCAGGTTTGTGATTGCTGGCACAGTGTGCTACATCTGTCGCCAATTTTCCAGTCTTCTTTCAGTTTGTTTTTATTACTCTTTGAGTAATATTTTTGCATTTTTTCGAAGAGTTCATTGAAAGTTTTTTGTTGATGAACTAAAGAAATATAAATATGTGAAGGTGACTGGTAATTCAGAACCTTGGCCTCTAATCTCAGTGGTCCCTTATCTTTAGCCTGTAAATTTATATCATCCATACTTTCAGGTGATTTTACTTTTTCTGGCATTTCTTTCTTTAAGATGGTTATTTTATTTTTTTGTGGTTTACTTGGTTTAGGTTCTATTAGAGGAGACTTATTTGTGACAACCTGTTCTTCTGGAGATGTGTTAAATTTATAAATCCTGGAAAAATAACATTGACTTTATTAGTAAGTTAAAGCGGATGTAATCAGCATGCTATACCATGTTTGTGTTTAACAAAATAACTATATTTATAGTCTTGTGAAAACCCTCGAGATAGTTGGGACACAAGCTACTGCTTAAATGAACCATTTAAGTTTTATAAACTATCCAAAGTAATATAAAGTCGTACCCAAAAGATACGCCAAACTTATGCTTGATCATCTCATTGTTGATGCAGACTGAGTTTTCTGTGTCACTTTTATCGTAAAGAGTAACTCCGACGGAGCCACGGTTGTGTCTACCTTTGTTGCGATTGTCTTCAACGTGTAGTTCAAGTAAAGTGCCCTGGTATTTCTTAAAGAATTCAACTGAAACTTTACTCCATTGTTTGTTGGGGGGTGTAATACCCGCGAGGTGGCATTCTATAGCCTGTAAAAACAAAGAAAAAGGCAATTTATTAATTACGTGATTATTATATCAACGGGACTGTTAACTAAAGTACTATCTTGTATGGAAGTTATAAGTATTCGGTCGCATTTAAATTGCGCTTGTGCGACTGCCGCGTGTTATTTATTTATATAAAAAAAAAACAAAGCAGCGCAATGAGCGTTCTGCTGTCGCGCGGCAGTACAGTTTATTTGAAAGCCTTTTTTTGGCGTAAACTTATAATGTCGATTATTACAAGGTTCCTTTTTTACGGTTTCGGCCTACCATGGTTTATTGGCCTTTTATTAATTAGGGTAAAACATTTTTTTTGGATTTTCTCTTATGTCGTGGATGCGTTTACAAACATACAAGTTCACATAACACCCAGAACCGAAACAGCAATTTGTGGATCACACAAAGAGTTGCTCCGTGCGCGTGTGTGAAACGAACCCGTTACATGCTGCGCGTCGGCCAGTTACCCAGCCACCGCAACAACCGTGCAGTCTTATGAAACATGCTAGACTCACTAGTGCGCTGAGTGTCGTGAATTTGGTTTGTAGATAGCGCAGTGAGGACCAGTGCAGGAGCAGACTGCGGCCGCAGTCGGGCAGTCGCACGCGGACGCGCTTGTGGCCGGGCAGCTCCGTCGCCACGCCGCGCGCCCAGCTCGCCGACACTTCCTCCTGACTCTTCTCCAAGTTTACTGCATATACCTTACCTGACAAAATAAACAGAGCATTCTTTATAATAATATTATATTTATTTATTTTTAATTAAAAAAGTGGTGTAAGATATTCGTAAAAAAGAAAAATAAAGTTAAGAGATATTATCTCGTGTCGTGGTTACGTTTACAAGTACACAACACACCCAGACATAATCGTCAATGTACTTTAAATACCAAAGAAAAAGGTGGCAACCCTAACCCAGACCCAAAGCATAAATTTATGGATAGTATGAAGTTGTCCTGAATACAAATCACAACATGTCCTGCTGCAGCCAGTCACCCAGTAATGCACTATGTATGCAGTCAGGCGTAATTAAAATCCAAGACCAAATTGTCCTTGAAACTACTTTCTAACTCTATTAGTATCAGTCTCATTTGTGTATGATTTTGATGGGATATACTAGACATTCTAGAAATTATATTAAATAAAGTATTAAAATATTGTTAGTACCTATTTCTGGCAAATACACAGTCCCAGTAGTTGAAGCGAGGCTGTATTCTTGCTCCAACTCTTCAGTAAGTTTGTCATATATTTCTTGGAGATGATGCTGAAAGATATAATAGAATATGTAGTGACAGTTTGATTACACTATGTAATTTCAAGCTGTATGCAATATATTAATTACCTTTCTCACATAAAACTTGTCAGGGTTAATCACGTGTGTTATGTACACTTCCTCCTCAGATTTTAATTCACTGGAATTGTACAGTTTTGGTATCTCATCTACACCCATAATCTTGGGATACTGCAAAAACGTGAATTACGTGAAAAGTGATTAATTTAATAGTAAATAAATATGTTTGTATGAAGTACATCTGTATGTATAGAGGGAAAAATAATCATTACCCATAGCTTTGGATTAGGCATTTTAGCACGTTCATGGAACACTAAAGCATGAGCAACACTGACTCCATTCTCGAAAGTGGTGACATCGCAATCCAATTTAAAATCCACATTTGACAGCGGTATTATACGGCGCACGTGAAGCACAGCCTGTTTACTGTAATAAGACACAAATTATAGTTCAAACTACACAACTCCTTCGAATAATGGTAATTAATTTTATTCAAAATAAAATTGTAACACTGTTTTCCTGAATTGCCGAACTCGACTGCCTCGTGTCGCGGTCGATAACCTATGTGGGGATGCATAGGTATATAGATATTACTTGTAAATGTGCTGATTTAATAAACATAAGACAGTGTGCATTCAGACAGTGTATGTTTCATTTCTCTCTCTAAACACGACACCCAATACCTACTTTAAATGTTGCTGATACCACATCCGCTTTGCAATAATGCATTCAGTTACTTTATGTAGGCTTTTTACTATTTTTTTAAAATTTACCTGATTTTATCAACCCCTCTCGCTGTTCCATGGAATTCGCAACATAACTAGTAAAAACTAGAAGTTTTTATATGGGCACCTCTCTCTGCCATTTTCACAAAGACGTGGTAAAATGTTTACAATACTATATCGTTTTTTGTAACCCTTTCGACTTAACTTTATAAAAACTACATTTATAACAATGTTGCGCCTAGAAAAGTTCGAAAAAGATAAGAAATATTGTTTTCAAGAATGCTTTGAGTTACTTACTTGTCAATTATATTTTGGATGAGGAAAGAATCGTCATTAGTCCACTTGCCACTCCTTGGCTCACAATTAGCCAAAGAGCAATTAATGGCGAGTGGATATGGACACTGTATTTTTGAAGGTGGCAAAAGTCTTAACCTTAAAAGAAAAAAAAACAGCTGTTTAGTGTCGGACATTGAATAATGAAATATTATTCAAGAGAAAATTATTGGAATTTTTGACTTACTTATCGGCTGAGATAAACTCGATGCTTCCGAAATCAAAACAGAAAACTTGAACTACTGGAGTCTTATTGGGTTTCATGTCGATTCCAAGAATACGGCATCTCTGCCACATGTTATCAGCCTTGTTGAAAGCCAAGTATGTTTTACCTGCAAACACAGCATAGTAAATAACAACTAACTGCCTAACAATACTGCTAAATACCAGCTGAAATGCATAAAAACGGAAAGTGCTAGTCGGACTCGCAGGTGAACAGTCAATATTTTTTTTATAAACTATGTTTAAAAAACCCCCAGTCCAACCAATTCTTTTTTTAAATCAGTTCAAAATATATTTTTAAATTCTTTATTTCATACCTGACTGACTTCTACCAGCGAATTCGTCAGCGTTATTTATAATATTCTATCTCTGTACAAAGTTTTATCAAAATCAATTCACTAGTTTTTTGTGTGAAAGAGCAGTAAACATAGGTAAACCCTCACAAACTTTAGTGTCTGTAAGTAGGATAGGATAATAAAAACAAATGCTTACCCGGCGCGATATGATTAACTGAAGGTTTTGCGAACGATACAGCGTTTCGGAACTCCCGAACCATATCCTTAACCAGTCGTTGGAAACACGCCCTTTGCACGAAGAAGTTGTGTGGATCCACAATGTGCGTAACATAGATCAATTCTTGCGCGCCTGAAATATTTTAGTAGAGGTGAAATAATAAACATAAATAAATAAATAAAAATAAATATGTGCCTATTTTCAAACATTCGCATATTAATATACCTTCAGACAATTGTTGTGGATGTTGGTTTTCTTGAAATGGTGCAACTGGCTGAACGATGGGTGGCTGTTGGTACTGATCTGTAACATAAAATATTCATAAGATTTATTGTAATAAGTTTAGATCATCTAAGTTCATCTAATCATGGTATGTAATTATACATCTCAATGTATACAAACTTTTTAACACTTAATTTATGATGTATGTACATAAGCAAAGTAATTTGATTCCTTTTGTAATGTGCATAGAGCGTTTCAATTCTATTTACTGTTTCATGTGTTTACTGCACTAAAATAAAGATATATACATACTTTCATGTATTTGACCTACGTAACATAGTTACCTAGGTAACTTACTTTGGACAATGTAGCTTCTGTTTGATTTCTCACTGCAGTTAGAATTAGATGACACAGAACCACTCTTGTTGCGATACTTGGGTGCATTTGTGAATAAAGCTGGCGCTTTAGGAGTTTCAGGTTTGGGTTTATTTGGTTTCGATAGTCTCGCATCTACAATAAAAAATATTTTTCATCAAACTTTAAAAACAGCCCAGGATGGCCATTCTAGTCTATAAGCGGAGGTAGACATTTAGTTAGAGATAGATTTTTCAGTTTATTAAAGGAAAATTATTATTTCAGATAAAAATTGCATCACACCTTTAACTAGTTCCGGCGGCAGAACTGGTGTAGCAGGAGCTGGAGGTATTTCCACATTGTCACCAAGTTCCGCCGTTGAATACATCTTGTACACAGACTTCACATTGCCTTCCAAGTGCACATAGTCACTGACTAGTGAACACAGGTCTTCATTGACGGTCACTCTGTAGGAACAGAAAATTCATTATGTCTTTACTTCTTTGCACCACTTTTTTTATTAGCCATGGGGTCGTCCCATTGCAGAGCAAAGGCCTCCCTGTCCTCCTTTCTTTGTAGATTTTTGTGGCCAAACCCTTTGATAGGTGTTAAGATTATCCCGCCATCTCCTTCTGGGCCTGCCGCGACGTCTATTGACGTTGAGCGGGCTCCATTCGGTAGTGAGCTTTGTCCACCGCTCGTCCGACATGCGGAAGACGTGACCAGCCCAATGCCACTTCAGGCTTGCGGCTTACTAACTAACGTCAGCGATTAGAGTTTTGGAACGCAGTGTGGAGTTTTTTATTTTGTCGGATAGTTGGGCTCCTAAGATACTGCGCTCCATGGCTCGCTGGCAAACCTTGAGTGTGGACTTTTGATGTTTTGTCAAAGACCAGGTTTGAACACCATAGGTGGGAGGGGCCAGAATACACATGTTCATGAGCTTCCTTTTTAACGCTAATGGAAGGTTGCCTTTCATTAAGTCTTCCATGGACCATTAGCTTTTCCGGACATTCACGGTGCGTCGAGTAATTTCTTTATCTTGTCTCGCCTAGAAAGAGACTAATTGGCCCAAATAGATGTATTCTTGGACGTATGATTTCTGCTCCATATACTTCTAACCTATGTTTTAAGCTGTAAGTCCTTAGTTTGGTCTTTGACATGTTCATCCTCAGTTCAATCCCAAGGCCTTGCTCTGCTGAGCTCGTTGATCATACTACCTAATGCTTGTTTGTTAACCTCTTCTCCCTGATGACCATACCCCTCGTGCTCCAGCATGGCAAGCTTTTTAAATCCTTCTTCTAGGGTCGTTGTGAAGAGTTTAGGAGATAGCGGGTCACCCTGTTTGACACCCTTGTGGATGGGAAAGGATTGGCCTGACCTATGTAGCTTGATAGCCGCGGTACTTTTGTGATATTATATTCTTTAGTAGTTTTACTTTTGCCAGCTTTTCCCAAATAAAATTACCAAAACAAGCTTTCGTTACATACTGTATCTAATATCTTGTTTTTTTTTGTCAAAGTACAGTTGGGTGTAAGTCTAACAGTAGGTACTTAATATGCAGTTTTGTTACACATGTGTTGTGTTTATCTATCTATACATTACATATTAAGTATTTTACATGAACTAAATATTATTGAAAAAAGTAAACAAAGATTAAAATAGGCCTGGGCAACATACATAAAAGTTATAATTTGTTTAAGAAATTCACTTTATCTTACTTGAGAGGTTCTTTGTCTGTTTCTTTCTTGTCAAGATACCAGGGAGTATTCACAACTTCTTTAGCTTCCTCCAAAAGCGCTGGCATATTTATCTATAAATGTAGATATAAAAAAAACAATTTCATAACTATATATTTATGTAGTTTATAATTATGTAATAGAAATAATTTACCCTTTTAATATTTTTTGTGTCTGTTGCAATTGCTATCAACTCCAACACATTATTGGCTTTCTTAATAGAATTAGCTATTTCAGATTTAGCTCTCTGCAAGGAATTTTTTTCAGAAAATTTCAAGTATAATATTATATTGACAATTTCTTCCTTATGCTTTTGTATAATACTGAAAAGCTTTGAGAAGTGTTGTTCCACATCGGCCAGAATATTGGTAAGATCTTTTGCTGATCCAGCATCATTTTGAAAGTTATAAAGCAAATACCCAACATCCTAAAAACAATATAAAGCACATGTTAATAATTAAAAATGAAATCATTAACTTCATCCTTTTCTTTATGATGAGAATACAACATACAACAGCTGTTTTGGTCAGTCTTCGGTAGGTTTCATCAACTTTAGGAGATATTTCATTCAAATCTTCCAAGAAGGTCTCGTTCTAAAAAAAAAACAAATTATTATTAGGTACAAGTAATTACATGTAGTAAATCATCTTTCTTAAAATTATTGACTTACAATATCCTGCAAAGACACCACATCATGGTTCTTGCAAGACTTTTCTCCACCGAGTATCATGCAGTCCGTGCATACACACTTCTTGCAATCCTTGCAATAATAATCAAGTGGCTTCTGAAGATGCTGCTTGCATGTACTTGGTAACATAGTTGTTTCTAAAAAAAGTTTAAACAATTAATGTATGATCAGTATGTTTATTATTTTCATAAACAAATTGGAACAAAAGCATACCGATACTTTGTAGTACATGGTTTTTGAAAACAATGTAGTTTTTGTGAGTTTTATTGAAGCAGGCATCACACAAGATGGTGACACACTCTTTACACATTTTGGATGTAGCTACACCACATTCAACACAATTGCCTGAAAAAGGAAATAAGAATTAAATTACAATATAATTTCCTGATGAATTGCATATACTTATTATTGTCTCATCACTACCTTGTTCTGCTGCACAGTTTAACAAAGTTTTCAAGTCAATAAAAAAGTCATCATCAGGTTGCTTACGAGTGGAGTATGAATCCTAAAAAAAAGAAACAAAACAACTCTTCATTACATGCAGGAACAAACATGTTTTTTGTAAAATCTCCTTAGCATAACTGCAGATTTTAGGAAAAGCATACATATTTATTTCTTTGTTATACATTTTAATCAGTTAAATAAAATTGATATAATAATAAATTTAAAACATTCACCTTCATCTGATTCACAGCCAGCTCTCCAACCATATGAACATTTATGGGAAATTTTAAATACAAAACATTTTTATCTAGTATGAATGTATTCAGATCATTGATCTTCACATTGGCATCACACATGCAGACTTTGCATTCAATAGGCTCCAGGCACTTCACAGTATTTACGATGCAATTTTCGCACATTGAGTGGCCACATGGCAGAAGTAGTGGCAAATTTCCTTTCGGCTTTGATGAAAGGTTTACTAAGAAAATACATTTTTATTATTACATTAGTTATTTAGGATTTGTTTTTTTTTGTTTTGATGGCACCGAGTCTTAGCTTACAAAGTAACAATTGTTATTAGTGAATGCTATTTGTATGTCTGTATAATTTAAACCACAGCAATAAAAAATGTGGATAGAGGTAGATACACAGATGCTTTCACAATTTAAGTTTAGGTATCCACATTCACTTTGTTTTTATAAATACAAAGTTGATTTTGCATGCACAAAAACAAAGTGCAAACTTTTTATCTAAAGGAATGAATTTATACAAATTTATAGACTAAGATAAACTAGGCAGTAGAATTGAAAGTCAGCAAAAATCATGATGGAAACAAATATAAACTTTAGAATATCAATGGGAAAAAATTATTACAATTGATCACTTGCCAACAATTAATATATAAATAAACTTATCATAATATTGTTAGATGTAATTATTCTACCTCAGGCCAATTAGAAATCAAACGCAATTAATTGCGACGGATTGGTACACCTAGGGGCTACACATTTTATATCTTGTAAGACCTAGGTAATTTTGAACAATTGAAAAATATGAATGGTATAGGTGCCAATCAAACATATTTTATTATGAAAAGGATTGCAAAATGTGTACTAACTTTGTAAATTATAAAGCTGAGAACAGTTTGGACAGAACTTCTTTACACCGTCGTCCATGGCGCTACTATTATGAAAAAGTTTCTGATTTTTAAGTCTCAGACTAGATTCGTCTTTAGGACATACTTTTTGTTTACATTAGCAAGATAAACAATATAGTCATCGGCTAATTGTTTTATAGTTACAATCACAATACCGCTTTTTTGAAAATATATCGCCGGTAGATTCAACACGATCAAGTAAGAATGAAAAAGAAAAATAGAACCACAAACAAAATAAAACTTTGATACCATAGATCAAAAATATTTTTTTACTTAGTTTATAGCATTGCAGAAAGTGGTACAAAGTCCTTTTATCTTGCCAATATAATCAACATGGTAGCGTGCTATTGGAGAGGTCTATGTCCAACAGTGGCCGAACACAGGCTGATGATAATGATATTGATGGGTATCGCGCACAGTTATTGTATTATAGTATATATATATATATGTAGTTATATAATGAGTACGGTGGGTGAGTCGATTTCTGGATAAATACTCAGTAGGTAAATTCCAAATACTGAATATTTTTATAAAAGTTTTTGGACATACTCTTTTTTATGCGGTTATACCGATAAACGAGCTGATAGATCACTTGATGGTAAGCAATCCGCGCCGCCCATGGATAGGTACCCGAAACACCAGAGCCAATTATTTTTTTTTTAAGGGGGGAAAATCATCGAATGGCTGCTTCCGCCTGGGTGAGGCGGGAGGGAGTATCAGACTTTTATTGACTAAAAACCACCTCGTTCCTTCTCCTGCACGTCTAGCCGGAGCCCCGTTAACCCGTTAGGTTCTCCGCGACTCCAAATCGACATCGGCCCTGTTGGGCCCCATCTGTGGGGCATTCGGCATGCAGCCACCTGCATGCCGAATTTACATGTTATGACTTAAGCATAAGAAAGGATATTGATCAAATGTGATGATTGAATGATTAGTCCCGAGTGAAGAAATTGTTCGTAGGCGTGCTCCATCGTCGGCCACGTCATCGATTACTACCAGGCTAAATGATGGCCAATCGTCAACCTATCAAGTACCTAGGTATATAAAAAAATCTACCCAAGGGGATAAAGGAATGAAAATTTGTACAGATCTTCCTAGGTTTCCGATTTATTGGACTGAAATTAAAGATTAAAGCTAGCTACTATGATGAAGACATCCCCTTAAATAGGAATTTTATAAATTCAACTCCCATGGGGATGAAATATGGGCTCGCTGCCATTGCAGCGGTAAGTCCCCTCTTTGAGGAGTGGCTTGAGAGACGCTACGGTGTCCTCACCTACCGCCTGACACAGGTCCTCACCGGACATGGAAGTTTCGGGAGGTACCTGTGTCTGATGGGGCGGGAGGAAACGCCCGGGTGTCATCGCTGCGAGGACCGCCCTGAGGACACGGTGGAACACACTGTAGCGGAATGCCCTGCGTGGGTTGAGCACCGCCGTGCCCTCAGGGAAGTGATCGGCGATGGTGACCTCTTGCGTCCGGGCCTAGTGCAGGCCATGATGCGGAGCGAGGGGGACTGGGATGCCGTCTCCTCCTTTTGCGAAGCAGTCATGCTAGCTAAGGAGGAGGCGGGACGCGTGAGGCAGCGAAGCGCTGCCTTCTCGCAACCCAGCCATCGCGAAGGACACACCGGGCGTCGGTGATCGCGGGACGATCTCCGGCCACCGTAAGCGCGGGACTGCGGACGGCGAGCATGGGTGGCTCCACGTCCGACCAGAAACAGACCCGAGCGTACGGCGCGTAGCGTTCCGCGCGCGCCTCAAAGAGCCATCAGACCACCACAGATGGGGCCCAATAGGGCCGATGCCGATTCGGAGTCGCTGAGAACCTAATGGGTAACCGGGGCTCCGGCTCGACGTGCAGGAGAAGGAACGGGGTGGTTTTTAGTCAGTAAGAGTCTGACACTCCCTTCCGCCTCACCCAGGCGGGAGTAGTCATTCGATGATTTTCCCCCCTTAAAAAAAATGGGGATGAAATAAGGGATGACGGAGGATGTAAATATATTTATTAGTTTGAACCTATCAGTATCTAATGGAACAAACAAATTAAGACAAACAAAACAAATGATATAACGGCACAGGAATGCGTTAAAATCTGGGAACTATCTATCTTTTGAACTGTTGAATCAGTTTGAGTTAAATTCGGTACATCCCACGGGTACGGGAAATATGCGTTACAGCCCCGGGCCGGGACCTTCTATCTCTTAACCCACTAAACTTTTTTTAGTAAGATTCGGTACAACAATAGTCGATAGAATCGTTTTTATCACTAAAACCTTACAGGAACGAGCGCTCTATTGGTAAATTCCCTGTGCTTTTTCCTGGGTAAATGACTAAAAAATTTGTGTGTTATAACGGCACTGTCAAAATTGATAACACAAAAGTGCATGTTATATTGTTTCTTGGACTAAATAACAATTTTCGTTACATTTTGACCGAAAGCGCGCGAAATTTAAGTTTTGTTATTTGCAAACTTAGTTATGTACTTACAAAAAACGTAGGAATAATAAATTTGGCGCGCTCTCTTAAAGCAGCCTTAATGAAAACCATTCTTTGATCTTAGTTTAGGTCAGTCAGGCCTCATGGTCAACTTTTGTACGAGTTTGTTTTACGTTTAAAGTAATCGTAACGAGTACGCATTCGGCGCTTTGATTTAAATCAAACTCGTAGGTACTAAGACCCCAGAACATTGGAAAGACACTGAGTCTTGGTATTTTCGGTTATTATCTTTCCAAAGCTTTCTTAACCGCAGATCCTGCAATAGTGTGTTGTCTCGTTGTCTCTTGATTTTCGGCTCACACTGCTCACAGTCTAAAGTTTTGGATACATTGGACCGACTCACTACATTCTTACTAATTTTATAAATTGAGTGAAACCAGATGCTTTAAATTGTATAACAGACTTCCCACAGTTATTAAAACAGAACAAAAATTTGATATATCTATTTATGATAAAAATAAAAAAATCTTACGTGATAAACCATACCTACTCTTACTCGGAGGATGAATGCCTTCAATGCCTTGATGATAGACTTTAATCCTTTAACCAATATTTGAAGTACCTATAATAATTTTAAATAATTTATTTATGATTGTTATTTACATTTTATTTTATTATGATCATGTATTTTGTGTGATCCACAAATTGTTGTTTCGGGTCTGGGTGTCATTGTGTTCTGTGAACGTGTATGTTTGTAAACGCACCCACGACACAGGAGAAAATCCTAGTGTGGGGCAATGCTTTATTTAAAAAAAAAAATACTTTTGATTGCTTATGATTTTAAAAATAATTCGGACTCCTAAATAATAATACGGGTCAAATTTTCCACGACATGTCAATTCAAGCGAAGCCTGCCGATTTTGCTTGACAAGGCGACATTATGCGCCTTATGTCCACAGCGTCGTTGATATTGCCAGACATGTCGACCAAAGTCCGGCAATGTCGCGCTACTTCACCCAACGTCGCTAGCGACATGTGTCGCAGGACATTTATCCCCTAGTATATCATTGGCTCCTTTTTTTTTTCTTCTTTGGCAACTGAGTCTCCAAAATGGTGTTGTCGACTATACTGCCAGTGTCGAGTGGTGACGGCAAAATTATTATTGGCTCCTTATCCAAAGGCATTTGTCATTGTTTTAGGTACCTACTTACTTTTTTTTTTCCTTTGGAGACTCAGTTGCCAAAGAAGAAGAAGAAAAAAAAACTTTTTTTTCCAATGTCATGTCAAAATACCCTGCAAAAACTTATATTATTATGCCCGATAGGGTCCACATTGTGTCCTTATTGTGTTAACCATCTAAGTCATACAAGTGGAAAGCAATAAAGTATTGAGTCTTCAGTATTGAGATTGGCTGAAGAGAGAATGTCAGATTTTTCCTTGACTTAAAAACAACCCCGTTCCTATTCCTGCTTCCAATCAGACGAATCCCGGTAACATTTGCGTGTGATTCTCAGTTAGTATATATTGTATAGTCTATGCGTGTGATTTTCCACCGGTTATTAGCTACCTATTTAGGTACTACGTTGACTAAAAAAAGTTTCATTATCGAGTGCAATCCAGTATCCATTCAGAGGTACTAGGTTAGTGATCAGGAAAGTATTGGACAGAATGTTTGCAAGATTGAATATTGGTGTTGATGGATATCACTTTCTTTTGCATGTACCTAGTAGCGTTGTACATAGGTTTCGTTGCATTAAAACTTAAATACACATTAGTGTTTTGTGACTAATTGTGAATAAGCCCGTACATTTACGCCAGGGGAAATTATGCGTGAAGTTATCAAACGATAGTATAAAATTTGCAAGGACTATATTTCGGTTTAGAATATTCCCATGGAGTCGTGATACAGTCGTCGAAGAAGTTTAGAGGTCAGCTTGGCTCTTAGAACAGAATCTTCAAGCGTGTGCGTTGCATGAACATTGTGCGCTCGGCTGCCTTCGAAGGCGCACGTCGGATCGTACCGCTATGCAAGAAAAATAGTCCCGTACACAAAACTCGCGTCCGCCGCGGTTATTAATCAACCACAATAGCAATAAGCCATATTTCGAAATTCGTCAATCCTTTTCTGAGACCTTCATTCTACTTCAATGCCGACTGAAGTTTTTTTTCGATTGTGACACGGTTAAGTTAAACATGCGTTTACATATGTTTTGGTGATTTAATTTGTTTGTAACATTTGTTTTTATATTCAAAATGTATGCAAGGAAGATTTTCGGTTTATTTTCTTCAGTGCTTCTGTCCATACTTGTAATAACCGGTAAGCTCAAACTACTTTTTGGCTTGTTAACTGTCTACAGTTTTAATTCGATAGTTAAACCATTTACTCTTAATGTAGGGAGTTTCTTCAAGGTGGATAATTACTTATTCAGATTATTTAAACATATAGATTATGGGTATCTAACAACAAAATTTTTGGCAATAGGTAGGTATCTATCATTGCAAAAAAATTTTCATATCAACGTTTTGGTACTACACAGATTTCTCATACTAGAAAGAACGAAGAAGAAAGGAGTCTTTGAAGACAGCTTATGTCTTCAAAGATTCCCGATAGCTGTTATAATTTATTTAGTGTTTAATTCTAACTTTAGGTAGATCAAACACGAAACAGTTAAACTTTGAGCTAATGCTTATGCAGTTGCTCAATTCTTAGTAGGTATCCATACTGCATGTCCAGAGTATCCGAGTAGGTAGGTACTTCTATTTCCCACTAACGAACATTTGAATTAGTTAAGCAAGTATTATTTTAATAAAAGTGTCGTCTTTAACTGTGTTGACATTTTGTCGAGTCTATGCATTTTTCAGGAGGGTCAGAAGATGGAAGTCGGGTGAAGCGAGTCCGCGCAGACAGTAGCGCAGTGGCTCGTGAACCAGCACAGGCTTTGGATGCCCCTGACCCAGAACAAGGCGCAGTTCCTGCCCCACCAGCGTTCCTTAGCCCTTCTGTGAAGGAATATCTTGAACTGGGAATGGCTATACCCGGTAAGCTACAAACATTTTTTATTGCCATTTCAAACTGTGTTTATGACCTTTCACTACCAGAATACCAAGATGATAATGCGAATGTTTGACGTTTTTAAATGTTAATTGTTATTTTTATATTTTTATAATTGTCTGGGTAAGTATGTTTTTGATAGAGTTTTTCTTTTTTTCGCACACGAATAAAATGTTTTAGCTTAAGTACCTATACCTACCTACACGAACCTACGAACTTTTTTTACCTAAAGATTATTTTATTTTGAGTACATATTAAGCCCCAGATACACATGTATGTACATAGATTTTGTATCAGCTATAATATATCGATCATGATATACGCATAATCTCATATTCGTATGCAATTATAACCAGCTATGTTATAATAAGTTGATAGATTGTAAGAACACCATGTATCTATTTGAATTTCTGTTTATAAATTACCTATTTACAAAACGTCATTAACGTTTTTGTGTTACTAGACGTGTCATCAACCAAACCAAAATTATCACAAATCATGAGCTTATACATTATTAAATACACCAGTGATGTCAAGCGCAAATATAGGATCCCGACGCTTCTACCAGATTATCTGTACTTACTTATAATTTGTCATTTATGTGTAATGTGTAACCTAAATATTTTACTTGCTAAGGACACAACGTTTTTTGCTACGTCAAAGGTACCAAGATACAATAATAGGTACCCAATAAACAAACGTACCCCTAACAACGCGATATATATATTTTCCATGATTCCCATTCACATTTAAAGAACAATCTGCTTTAAAATACCCCGATTAGTAAAGTAGCTACATACTACATAGTCATATTTTACTTCCTAAAATAGCCTTATTTGCTTTTTCAAAATGAAAGAAAAAGCTACTTAAAAATATCAAATAGTCATATGTCTTTTAAATTCTAAAATAGCCTAACTAACTCAAAATAAACGTCCTGAATGTAAAGAGGTAACGTCCTACCTAATTTGTCGAAAAATTAAAAACTCGATTCACGGTAAACATACTCTTGTAGATAGATATGCTCTTGTATCTCTAGTTTAGATAATGTACTTATGAATTCGGCCATTTATGTGTTACAATAGGAGTAGATGTTACAAATCATATTATATTTTATACCTACACCTGAATCCTTATTTAAGTAGACGGATTTTTGTCCTCGACATTTGTAAAGTTTATTGACATGTTCGCGGATCTTGAAACGTTTATTAATTGTTAGAAGATAAAAGATAATTATTATTTTATCTAATTTTTAAAAGTTCAAGTATTTAGCTGTCACGACGTACAATAAAAAGTTTTAGCATTAGCACACAGGTAGTAAGATGAATGGGCATTTATCTTTGTTACTATACCTAATCGTAAAATTTGTTGCGGATTTTTCCGATCTTTTATGATCCTTTTTACCTCATAGAGGTAAAGGCAATTTTACAAGTTTTGATCGAATAATTAATAAATATTCTTGCTTACATTATATTCGTGAATATTTATATAGTTATAAAAAATGAGCTATGTATCCTAGTAACTCCTTGTATTGCAGCACCCAGTGTAGTGGCAGCGTGTGCTTACCTCAATACGTAATTAGGTGCTCGTGCAGTTGCTATGAAATATTAGTTACTACATAACAATTGTCCGCTTACTAATCGGTCGACGTTTGTACGATTTATTGAATAATTAACTACAATAAATTATAATTAGGTAGGCACATTGTAATTATAAGTTAATCGGTGTCTAAACCAATATATTGATTGTTAGAAAGATGTTACTAACCTAGTAAGAGTGAAGCGATCTAAATTGTATTGGGTTGAATAGGGATTGTATTTTGAAGGCCTCGCGTTTATTCTAAGACGTGCGTTGAGCAGCCTTGTTCTATCAAGATTTTGACTTACTCTTGCGTTGTCTTAGCGCTTAACTATACTGTCATTCACAAACAGTGGTACTAGAGTACGAACGAGGTCGTATTCATAACGCACAGCTTTGGGCAACGCACCCAGAGTAAATCGGGCAGTTGCGTAATTCATTAGCATCCGTATGTAGGAACGATGGAAGCTTGCGTTTCAATAACAGTAATTAGAAAGGTTTAACGTACGCATCTCTGTCTTGAAATCGTAGAAAATAGGTACTTCGTTTTGGATTCAACGATTCCATTTATGTTCCATTATTGTGTGATTATTATGTACTTCGGCATTTCGTATCGGACACGTGTGTGAATTTTAACTTATGTAATAACTGTAAGTAGGTACTCACCTCCAAGTGTTTTAAGTTAATGTTTTACTGAGTTTTCTTAAACGTCTTCATAGTTTTGTATATATTAACTAAAAGTAAATTCTAACAGTAGGTAATTCGTAGACTCGTGGTTACATACTTTATAATTAATATATGTAAGTAAAATGTCGTGTATGCAGACAACATACATATGACCATAGTTTTAATTACTTGCCCATGGACAAGTTCAGGTACAACCGGAACTATTTGTACCTGTAATATGTAATAAGTAGATTAATTTTATGCCCTTCGAATTTTCTGTCGGAAAATCCGGATGATGTGTCATGCTACCTACTCTATATAATTCTATTCGACTTTAACAATTTAGGATGGATATGAGTCGTATTTTTTATAGGTACACATTACGGCACTTAATACCACAGTATAGCGTAACATCCACTTTTCACTATTTATTGCACATTTCCAGACTCCGTGCTACAATCTATTGAGATTTTTTTTTAAAACCTAGTAATACTTTGCCCGACCCGGGAATCGAACCCGAGACCCCTTGTCCGGCATTCGCACTTGCGATCACTCTGCCAACAAGGCAGTCAAGTCAAAAACAAAAAGAAAATGTGTTTATTTTCTTAAATCTATACAACTTAAGTTGCCGAGGCATTCCAGAAGATAATCCGAAGATACTTGTGATGGGATATAGTATAATTTCATAAGTTTAATAAATAAACCATTTAATGAAATAAAAAATTGGAATCAATTTACATAATTTTATATTTTTATCCATTTTAACGTCACGCTCACGTCGTTTAGAGATGTAGGTATAGAGATTAACTTAATAAGTGTGTGTTGAAATAGTTCTTTTTCCTTGCTCACAACCCAGTTTCATACGCCCGCCCATACATAGTCATATCTTTACATAGTAGATAAATAATAAATAATAAGTATGAATTAATGTAGGTAGTCGTGTAAACGATGTTCCGAACCTTTGTTTGAGTGAAACACTGACTTTAATTGAGTGGTTAGGCTTGATTGACTTCGATACCATTGACATGAATGCAATGTTAGGAATTAAATTATTGAACTTTCTGAATTTTTTAGTAACGGGAGTGATCTAAAATTGTCTGCTGATTATTATCCTTACTTCCTTTTATAAATCTGAAAGTGAGTTTGTTTGTTTGTTTGTTTGTTCCACCTTCACGCCGTAACTACTCAACCGATTGCTTTGAATTTTTGCAGACGTAAAGTTAGAAGTCCGGATTAAATAATAGGGTACTTTTTAACCCCAAAAATGATATTCCCGAGGAAAAACAAAAGTATTGGTATAGATGGCGCTGTGTGTATTGGTATATGTCACATAGGCTACTTTTTATTCTTTTGTGACGCGAGCGAAGCCGCTGGTAAAAGCTAGTACAGCAATAAACATCAAAGAACTTGAGCTTTTTTCCTTGAACAACCATAGAAATTATTATTATAGATTTAGTGGTCCATGTGATAAATTGAAAGCAATTTCTCCACAAACTGATGAGTATTGAAGAAACTTTATTGAAAATTTTAAATCTTTAGATATTATTATAAACAATTAGAAGTCTGTTTACATAATCCATCTGCAATATGATGTGTGTAATTGATTAGAATTCGCTGATTGCCATGAAGAGAGCTCCGATTACTTAGATTGTGGCCGTTTGAGCAAATCGCCCTGACATTCTGTACGTGGCCTGAGGTCGACATGAAGGCAGTCATGTGTGTGCACAACACTAATCTGTTATACATCCATCAACACGTCGTTTCAACTTAGGCCTGATCATTCAATCGTATAATAAAAATATCAATCAAATTAATATAATATTTCTGACAAGAACACGTAAATACGCTTGTAAAAATTAATTATTTATTTAAATATTATGTTAGTGTATTATTTCAATGTTATTGATTACGTAGGAGACGTATGTAGCTGAGCGATTAATGTCTTCAATACGGTAGTTGACAACTAGTCAAATTCAATACTTTTATCGGAACGTGAAAAACGATATACTGTTCTATGAATTTTGTAAGAAATACCATCATATGACGTCATCATATTTTCGCGTCAAATAGCACACTTATATCTAAAAACAATGTTATAATAAATCGAAAATTAAGTATATCGGCAAATCAATGAATGAAAGTGTAACTATTTTTGAAAAATTAATTGGACTGAAAAATCAAAATAATTTATTTTTGACCCAGGAAGGAAACTGCCCAATTCTCGCTTGGAGCAAATAGTATGATAAGTTTCGGTTGTCACATATACATATGAGACCTATATAAATATGAAATTAAATTCAAAGGAGACTTGATTGACAACACATAAAATAGGTACCACAAGTGGCTCTACTTTTTCAAATAGGTACCATAATTAGTAATTCAAAGTTTGTTTTCTTTTTATTTTGCTTTGCTATTTTTATTAAATGCATTTAACCTTCACTTGCGATGAATATTCCAGACATATATGATCGTATCTCGTAAATTATAGGCACCCATCTTGTTTTTATTTGGATCCACGCCCGCAATTTTATAAATAGGATTAAATGAATCAGTAACTGGTTTTAATCCAACTAGACAACCGTAACAGCATAAGTTACCTAAGTGAATTACAGTCAAGTTGTAAGTATTTTTGATGGGAACAATTTTGTCCACATACATGAAATAAAGCTTGACTTTCCTTATAAACTAAATACAGAAATATTGTGTAGAAAAAGAATGTCCAACTTTTATTTTATGATTTCGAAAT